CACTCGGTAGTCTGGCTTGAGAACGGAACTTGGCGCCAGATTCTACCGAATCTGTGGATGAACCCGAGAATCTCTCCCATATTCCCCTACGTTGCCCTATATATGTCATACAGAAATCACTATTTGACGCCACTGCTTGTACCTGATAAAGAAGAAGCTAGTAGCATTTCTAGATTCTTCAGTGATTTAGATTACACAAGAGCCAAAAACATTTATTTATTGAGCGTGTTCAGCCGAACTAAGTCCTGAGTAAACTTAGTAAGATATGTATAGTATAGTAGATAGATATATGTATAGCAGGGAATGCTTTGACTATACTTAGGCTAACTAAGTTTATTCAGGACTTAGTTCGGCTGAACACGCTCATTTACTAGCTGTTACTCGCCCGCTCCGCTGGGCGCTTTATAAAATTGCATTTTTAGATCCAGACTTGAAATTTTATTAGAGTATTGTTTCAACTTGCACAGATTCCAAATTCTATCGAATTGGCATGCACCTGTTATCAATGTAATTATTCTAGCTAATATTCATTGTAACTTTCAATGTGCAATTATTATAAAATTCCCGTGTTTTTCTAACAAAAATGAATAATAATTGATATGAAAAAAAAAATTTGTAATGAGCACTGAAAGTTTCAGTTAAAGAAATTGCAGGTCTCACAAGTGAAGAAATCTGCCTAGTATATAAACATAACCAATAGAATTAAAAAATTTATTTTAAAACAAATGTCAATCGAATAGAATTAATTTAATTACAACAAAAATTCATTATTTCTAAGTCAAAAAAATATAGGTTCCGGATAAGTAATCACCACCATATCACACAGAAAAAAAGAACCTTCTCCGAAACACGCTGCATCTTATGGTATTAGTATCATTCCGATCGGTTCAGTAGTTTTTGCAGTATAACCGGACAAAAAAACCGGCTCTTCATTTATTAGTATAGATAATATAGAAGAGAAATTTTCTTTAAAAATTACCGCGAAAATTATAGTAGTCGTCGGATATTCCACAATTCCTGATCTAATTCCAATTTTTTTAATAGTTATTCAGAAATACAATGTACAAAAATAGGAAAGTACCATTAATTTTTGCTGCAGTGTACTGGTAAAAAATAATATGAATAATTTTTCTCAATTAAAAAAATAATTTTTCCGTGTAGAAAAAGAAGAATAATGTAATTTAAGATTATGAAAGTTCATCGATGATCGACATAGATCCATATACGGTAGATAATACTAACGCAGAGGTACTTACCACGATTATGCCCCTTAAATTCTTGAGTACTGCAGATTGAACTGAGCCGGCACCCGGAAAAGACAGAGGAGCAAGAGAGAAGACCGACATGTATATACATATCTATACTGATTCAAACTTTGCCATCAGCGCATTTCAGTCTCACTTACTGCACGCTATCCTCGGTACCCTGGCTCCCTTAGATTTAAACCGTAGAGATGGTCCTCAGGGAAACTCTCAAACACGACCAACGAGAGCTTTGATTTTGAGATAACTCGAAAATTCTATCCTCAATCCAAACTTTCCGGCATCTAAACAAAAAGAATAATAATTCATTTGACTTTAATTGTGAATATTCAATTTAAACATTTGAATTTTAATTTAAAAAAAAGAACAAAAGTAAATAATAATAACTAGCAACCTTGCAGTCACTATGTAACTGCCGTGACTTGTATGAACTATAAATAAACAAAATTTTTCTTATTCTCTTAATAATATAGATAATGATTTAAATTTTTTTTCCCCATAGATAATTGGTTTTAAAAAAGGTGTAAAAAAAAAATGAAAACATTATGAAAAATAAAGTAAATTTATGATGATGTAACGGGGACAAAGCAAATGAGAAGTAGACGAAGAGCTTTCAGGAGGAATCTAATTAACAACTGGTGAAATCTGATTAGAGTGGACACTGCCGTTGGCAATGGAAAGCCAGACAGAGTATGGTATAGGACACTCAACTCGTTGCACGCGAGACTTCATGAGAAATGAGAGAACACGAAGGACGTTAAAATATAAAGGGTTTGAGGTTTGTATGTACAAGTAAACCACAAAACTTATGGCACCCCGAGCATACAGAGAATGTGTCAAGAGTCGCTATAATTCCAAGTTATCGGTCTCCCTGGATACGAACAAATACATCCGACATATCTGACACTATTCATTTGTGTTTTTATCTTTTTTATTTTTTTCCTATACCCGCAGCCGTTTTATTTATTTTACTCTGTTTATAAAACTAATTTCAAATAACTATCTATTTTTTCGTCAGCAGATTGCTGTTTAAATGAAAGAGATATCTAGAGCAAAGAGAAACACTGGCAGAATAAGTGTTAAATATTTAACACAAAGTTTTTTAACGCAAAATTTTTTACTGTGTATTCTATTTTTGACTATTTACTCTGTATTTTGCGGATATCGAACTGATAATTTACTATGAAACTTTTTATTTATGTTTTATATTCGAAGATATTTTATGTTAAAAGAATGACGCACCAAATGCCGTGTTAAATAAGACTGATATGATTATATGTTTATAAAACTGTATTGCTATGACTTAAACTTTGTAAGCAATTATTTAAATAAACAATACACAATAAATATGCTAATTTAAAGCTCCAACTTTTTATTTAATTGATTAATCATGTCTTAATCATTGAACTGATTTTTAGATCGTAGCAACTCTTGGAACAACTTGTTGCTGTGCATTTGATAACTTGGACGAACTTGGTATCGTTGCTAATCGTGAGAATGTTTGGCTACATGTTGATGCTGCTTATGCTGGTAATTTTTTTTTATCAATATTTGATTTCATTTAATATTTAAATAATTTTTTCATTTAATAATCAAAAATAAAATAATTTATAAAATACTTTCAATGTAAGTCCAACACATTTTCGAGAAGCAAGGCGTTAAACTTTTACTATAAAAAATCCGAAAAAATTTTTTTTTATTAAATATTTTTACAATTAAAAATAAACATTTTTTTCCCGGATTTTTTATTTTTAACATAAAAAAATGATTTAATTAAAGGATCTGCATTCATCTGTCCTGAGTTCCGGTACCTGATGAAAGGAATCGAGCGAACAGACTCATTTAATTTCAACCCGCATAAATGGATGCTGGTAAACTTCGATTGTTCTACAATGTGGTTGAAAGATCCGACTAATGTGATCAATGCGTTCAACGTCGATCCTTTGTACTTGAAACATGATATGCAAGGGTCAGCACCTGATTACAGAGTATGTATTTTAATAAATTAATGAAATTTAAACAACGTCACAAGTATATAAATATAGTTTTTAAATAAATACAATTATTAGTTTATTCGAAATATATGCCTTTATATAATTTTTTTAAGAAATAGTATTGAAAGTTTTCAACAGATGGCGCATAGTAGTTAATTATCTCGCTTCCAGATAATTAATTCCGAGGTTTAAACCTCCACTTTAAAAGTAATTCTCTAAATTGATTATTAAATAAATTTTGATCTAGATTTTTTTAATTACACATTTCTTGAAAAAATATAATATTAATATTTTTAATTAAAAAATTTTCTTGAAGAATTGTATGTAAAAAAAATAAAAAAAAAAATTGTAATATTTAATATTTCTTAGCACTGGCAAATACCACTGGGCAGAAGATTCCGCGCATTGAAGCTGTGGTTCGTTTTACGACTATACGGCGTGGAGAATCTCCAGAAGTTCATCCGCAAGCACGTGGATCAAGCCCACGAGTTCGAAGCTCTGGTACTTTCAGACGCGCGCTTTGAAATCACCTCTGAAGTGATTCTTGGATTAGTTTGCTTCCGGCTCAAGGTAATGCCAGCAATAAGCATTGATATGGATCTTGATCTCCTTGAAATACCTTCTCTAGGCCTTGATCTGGATGTGTCTTGATCTTGCTTAATTGCAGCCTAAATTATCACTTATGATTTATCACGGTTGACAGCCACCTTCTCTTTTCTTCTTTCAAACAATGTAAATACTTATTGATAATTGTTATTATTTGACAGGGATCCAATGAGCTGAATGAGACCTTGCTGAAAAGAATAAACGGTGCCGGCAACATTCATCTGGTACCGTCAAAGTGCTCCGACATTTTCTTCCTACGCTTCGCGGTCTGCTCGCGGTTCAGCGAAAGCAAAGACATCCAGTACTCCTGGCAAGAGATCAAGCGGATTGCAGATCAACTTCTTGATGAGCAATCGCTTACAAAGTGATGGCGGGCCCAATTTACACGCAGCTGTAAATCTTTAGCTCCGGCAAATTGCAATCAGTCATGAATAGGCCCAAGATTTTTGCCGCTATTTTAAAATAAATCCTTCAAATTTTTAAGATTACAGAAAAAATATTGATCCTATAAAAAAATTTTTTAAACAAAAGTTCAGAATTTAACTTTACAAAAAAAATGTTTCTTATAATTTAAAAAAAAAAAAAAAAAACAATATTTTTGATGTAATTTCAAAAAATTTTGGAAAATCCAAAAGTGCACGCCTCACACGTCCATTCTATAGAAAAATACAGAACAATATATTTTTTCTACTTTCTACAGTTATATCGACGTTCAATATCGAATATGATTTTCTACGTACCTAATTACTATTACTACCGTGGTGCTGCTTAAGAAATTATTAAGATTTCACTAATATCTTTTAAACGATTGCGAGTTTGACAACGCCCTGCAATAGGGATCGTCATAAGGATGACTGGAAACTTATGGAGAAAGATTTATTTCATTTCATGGCGTACAATGAGAAAAAAAAAAGTACTACTCTTGAGGAAATTTTCTTGTCACAAGAATATAAATTTTTGATAATTTTCAAGAATATATTTTCTTGTCTCAAGAATTGATCGAATGATTTTTTGTTTAATTCAAGTGAATCTATTCGTTTGTTAATCTATCAAAATTAATGCCAATATTTTATTATGATAGATATTGATATTCTTTTGTCAAAAAACCAAAATTTAATTTAAACAATTCTTGAGCTAAGAAATTTTTTTCTGGACAAAAATTTTTTTTTTCTCAGTGTATATTTTTCCAGAACACGACGACAAGAAACGCGAGGACTAACTGACAGCCGTACTAATAATTTTTCAATTACAGTATTTGTTAATATACTAAACAAAAATACGTTGACTTTATAATTGAATATTTCTAGTTTTCAAAACATACTTTTTTTATTGATTTAGTGTCTAAATTGGGACATATCAACGATTTTATAATACAAAATTGTCCCATAGCGGCATGTCGAGAGTAAAGCATTTTCACACGCTCACGCGTGAGGCGTGCAATTAAGATTAAAAATTAAAAGTTCAAATTTTATTTTGTGATAATTATGAATTTTACTTTTGAAATTACAGCGAAATTATTGATCCCAAGAAAAAAACATAAGACATTTTTTTTATAAAATTAAATTTTGAAAAAATTTTTTATAGGACCAATATTTTTGTCATAATATCAAAAATTTGAATTATTATTTTTAATTTGCGGCAAAATCATGAATAATACTCGCTTAAAGGACATTCTTTGTCAGTGACCTCCATTTTTTTCAGTATTTTTTTTTTATTATTATTAAAAATAGAGGAAGCTAACAAAGAATTGCCTTGAATTAATTTAAATAAAATAATCAATGTTAAAGTTTCGCGTGATCTAGTATCTTATTTAAATAACAATCGTAGTCGCTTAAATTGTTAACGTTCTCTGGACCAACGACACATAATCATAGATAATAATCAATCGAGAGTGATTGAACGCGTTTAAAAGTAAAATTAATATTAATATATGTGCTTATGTAAATATCTCTGCATGCAGTAGTTGATTTATTTTAATTTCCACTTGACTTGCTGATAAATTATTGTTGATTTAAATGAATTATATTAATGTAGAATAACTAAAAGGCAAAACAAATGATATTGATTGCCTTTTACAATGAAATTACATCTATGTACAAGTTTTAATAGAATTAACTTGTACCCGGAGCACTTGTAATTGCACATCATAAAGCTGCAGTGACAATAATAAAGTTATGGAAAATTATTGAATATTGTCCGTCGCTTTAATATATCGCGTGGAAGTTATATATAATTATCATATATTGATGGATAAATACTTAATTGTTCGAATTAATATTTATAACAAATATATTGTTATTATTTATTATATTAATATATTAATGCGAAAAATCGCTGTATATAATCTTAATAGTTTTTAATTATTATAATTTTATTTAAGAATTTTTTTTTTTTATTATTTAAATTTATCGTTAATATTATAAGCTGTACCTATTTTAATGGGACCATTAATAAATCCATTAAAAAATATTTCTTTAGTTTGAAACTTAACAATCAACAAATTTATTAACATTAAAAAATAAATACACACACCTACAATTATTTAACTAACTTAAATTCTTTTTTTTGAAGGCTTGTAATAAACAGCCGAAAGCATTACACTCAAACTTAATACTGTTGAAATTATAAAGTTTCCTAGCAATAATGCATCTGCAGAGTCGACCCAGATGGTAAATATCCTCGCTGAAAATTAATTAAAAAATTGTTCTTTAGTTTTATAATTTTATATTGTGAATTTTAGAATTTTATTAGTAACTTACTCATGTTGGTGAAGGCCGATATAAACCACGTTAGTATGGAGACAGACTCGGAGTTTTTCGATCTCACAATTGCTAGCAGTTGGACTATTTTACTGGACGCGGATATTGGAGTACCCATTGGCTAATTAATGTTAATATTAATTATTATAATCAGTTTTTATATTATAATTTTTCGTTACACTGAAATCAGCAGACACCTTACAATTTTTTTTATTTAAAATATAAATTACTAGCAACCTTGCAGTCACTACGAAACTGTTGTGACTTGTGGACAATAAATAAATAAAATTTTGCTTTATTAAATAATGACTTTTGTTAAATTGCACGGTACTTTCTTAAATATTGACGTTTTTAAAGATATAAGCTCATCTCGATGTTACACTCATCAAGAACTTTCATTTGAGTACCCACATGCATTTTGATATATTTTTCATATATACATATATATTAGGGTGGCGGAAAAAAACCGACTATTTTTTTTTTTAGTCTCAAGTGAAAAAATATCAGTTTTTGATGTTTCAAGAGCCCTCTCCAAAGAACAGCTCAAAAAAAAATTTTTAAGAGGTCGCTCCAAATTTTTTTAAATTTCAAAAATCGTCAAAAATCGAAATGTTTTTTTTTAATTTTTTTTCTCGTTACGCCATAATTTTATAGACCAAAAAAAAAAACAAGTTCCTGAAAGTTTCAATTCAAAATTTAAATTTTGAAAGGTCGCTCATAATTTTTTTTAAATTTCAGAGTCAAAAAATGCTAATTCAATTAAATAGTCACTAATAAATTAAAAAAAAATTATGAGCGACTTTTTAAAATTCACATTTTAAACTGAAACTTTCAAGAAAACCTTTTTTTTTTGGTCTATAAAATTATGACGTAACGAAAAAAAAAATTCGATTTTTGAAATTTAAAAAAATTTAGAGCGACCTCTTAAAAATTTTTTTTTAAGCTGTCTTTTGGAGAGAGGTCTTATAACATCAAAAACCAACATTTTTTCATTCGAGACTAAAAAAAAAAAATAATCGGTTTTTTTGCGTCACCCTAATATATATAAATATATAAAATATATGAAAAATTGATGTGGGTACTCAAATGAAAGGTCTTGATGAGTATATTGTTGGAATGTGCTTATATCTTAAAAAATGTCAATATTTCACGAGATAAAAGGTCATTTCTTAATAATGTATCTAGAGATAGAGAATTTTCCAATGCAGCCTAAATATTTATCATCATAATTTGATTATCAGTGAGAATAATATAAAACCTTGAAAAGGCATAAACTCAAATCAAGACCTTTGCAATGACACTAAATTTCACTAAAAAAAAAACCGATTTTATCATATGACTATCCTGGAAACAAAATTTTTCTTTTTCTTTTAATAATATAGATGATGAGAAAAATATTTTTTTTATTTAGTTTTCAAAAGTTGAATTTTTTTTTAATAATTTATTTGATGAAAAATTTTTTTTTAACTATTAAATGTTTGCTGATTTCAGTACTAATTATTTTGTTTAATTTTTTTTCTAATACTTACTGTTAAAAATGTAAGAATAACTTTTGGGATAACTCCCACTAAAATACAGGTACCAACGACGAAGTAGCATGAAGCAATGGCTATCGTTAATTTATTTATCATTTTCAGATATTTTAATACTAAATATATGAGTATGTATTCTTGAATTAAAATAATTGGATATTCTAGGTAAGATAATAATGAGTATCCATTAGTGTAATTGTAACAAGTCGTTACTGTGTAACTGAAAATACAAAAAAATATATGACAACAGTTTATCTAATAATTGATTTTATATAAATATTTGAAATAAATATGACAATAAAATATGAAAATTAAGTTAGCCTAGATCCAAAAATTTTTAGAATTTTTTTTCATTGAAAAAATTATTACAAAAAAAAAAAAAATTTTCATTTGTAAAAAACTTGAAAAACTATAAGTGGAATTTTTTAAAAATATTTTTTAGTTCTAATTTAATAAGAGATAAAAAACCAAAAAATTAAAAACGTCAGCTAACTTTTTTATTATAAATAAAATTAGCATATACTTGACAATTTTTTTATTTTTCTTTAAAAACAAACTAGGTCTAAAAAATTATTTTTAAAAAATTGCAATCATAATTTTTTGGAGCTTCTAAAGATGGAATTTTTGAATAAATTTTTCTTGCTATAATTTATTCATTAAAAATTTTCTAAAAATTATCAGATGTCTCTTAATTTAAATATCATAAATAAAATGAATATTTATACAAAATTAATAATAGTAAAAAAATAATTTTACCTAGTAAGTTCTAACATTAATCCTAAAATAGACATTCCTTTAGCTGATTTGACAGCTAATAAATTTAAAATTTGAGGAACCTTGAGTATAAAACAAATAGTTATTGTAATGATACTAAGTGTATCAGCAATCACATGCAAATTCATTTTAGCGGCTTTGGTTTTTTGATTAATTTCTTCTAGACCTGAAAAAATATAAAAAAAAAAAAAAAAAAATAGTAATTAAATTTTTAAAAATAAAATTATATTTAAGTTAACTGTCACTAGAATTATTTATCAAATAAATTAGTTTTGAAAAATTATATTTAAAAAATTGCATTTTTTATTTTTTTTAATTTCTACATGTCAATTTAATTTTTTAATTTTTTTTTTTTGCCATAATTAAATTGTTAAAAAAAATTTGAATAAAATAAATAATCAATTATCAGAATAAAATAATAAAATCACTGACCTTATACTTTCTCAGAAGACTATATTTAAAACCGAGCGGAAATATATACAGTGTTTTGACAATAACAGGTGTTCTATATTTTCTCAGTAATCACTAATTATAATTAGTAATTACTAAACCAAACATGTAAATAAAATAAAAATTTTTAAATACTCAACATGAGTATTTTTATAAAAAAAAAAAATAAAAGGAGTTTTAATAAAATAAACAATTTAATACTTAGATAAATAATTCAGGGCCAAGTCATGGTTATTCGTTAAATTATGAGTTAACTAATACTGAACAAGTAAAAAAATAAATAAACGCATTTATAAATATAAATATATAAAGTGTGTAACACATAACATATATATTTTTGTCAATAAAATGCAGAGCGACTAGAGCGCCAAGTTACCGACTGAGGAAAATATATTATTTAGTGAAAAAATTTCTAGGTTAATCCACACAAATAAAATAAAAATAATAAAATTAATCAGTCAGTGTTTGGTTTTCATCATGTTGGTGATCATAACGAGCCAGTCTGGTGGAGATGATTGATCAATAATCTGGAACCACCTGGAAAGACAGTAAATATGTGAATAAAATATAACTAGTTGTTAAAATATCAATGACACTGTTTGTAATTAGTTGACGATGAATATCACTGCTGCTGCTCAAGCTCTCAGGTAATTTATTTATTATTTTTTCTAAACAAATAATAAAACAATTTTATTAAAAAAATATGACATGCGGCTCTTTAAATTTTTAATTGCCAAAAAAGTGATTTAAAAATTTTTTCAATTATTTAAAAACAAAAATGAATATTGACAAAATAAAATAAATTTTCAGGAAAGCTCAAATCCTAAAAGACAAAGTCCAGCAATCCAAAGACTTACTAAACGACAATGAAGCCTGGATAACCCAGCAAGAGCTCCAAAAAATTTACCAGCAAGTATTAATCTTAGACCTTGAATACGCTCTGGACAAAAAGGTCGAGCAAGAGCTCTGGAACCTGGGTTTCAAGAACTACATAGCAATCCTCCAAGCGCAGGTAAAAGATCGCAAGAATGTCCACCGAGCAGAGTCCCAAGCCATGCTGAGCTGGTGCTTGGAAGCAGCCAGCGGCTTTTACCAAAGTCTTCTCCAGGAAATATGCGCGGCGTTCAACCTGGACCTGGCGTTCCGCCGAAAAGGGGACATTTATGGACTATCAAGTCCCTGGGAGGCGGTCCAGCGGGTCCAGAAGATCAACAAGCAGTCTTCAAGACACCGTTCCTCGTGCTTCTACGTCTGCCAGTACTGTCTAGTCCACCTGGGTGACATAGCCCGTTATCGGAACGAGAACAAGCAAGCAGAACTTTTTTACAGACACGCTGTTTCCTTGGCGCCTTGGAGCGGGCAGCCGTACAACCAGCTGGCGCTTCTGGAGGCCTCCAAAGTCGACAAGCTTGCCACGGTTTACTACTACGCTCGCTCGGTTGCTGTTAAGCACCCGTTCCACGTGGCTGCTAGCAACCTGGCCAAGACTCTGGAGACTCTGGACGAGGATCTACTCTCTCATCGACACTTTGCTAAATTAAACGCCACTGAGTACACAGCGTTTTTCCTAAAGTTCCACGGCGCGATCCACCAGAATCACCTCAAGGAAGCCGACTCTGGAAAAAGCGCTGCTGAGTACAAAAAGTCACTAACTGACAGCAATTTTACAGGCTTGATCGCGACCGATGGCTTCAACTCCTGGAAGCTGGTTCAAATGTTGGTGATAAATTTGTACGCGCTGCACCACGTGTCCGGAAATTCATCCTTCCAAGAGTTACTTAAGCCCGACCAGCTGAGTTCTGATGAACAATTATCGCGTAGTTATATTCTTGACATAATTGCAGGAAGTCTATCAGCCTTGTTGCTGCCAGTCTACACCCTCAAGACGAGTGTCACGGACTACTTTGCGCTTCCAACGATAAAACTGTACCTAGAGTGGCTGATGAGTCAACCCTCGGCAAAATCACTTCTAGAAGAACCAGCCTTTTCATCCCGGCTCCAAATCTGGCCTAGTTTATGCGCACTCCTGAATGGTCTTAGCAAAGAGCTAGGAGACTTTGACGGTGATAAATTTATAAAAATTCCTCTACCAGAAGACTGGGAGCTCCAGGGTTTTTTGCCACTGGAACAGAGCTTTGAAAAGCTAAAATTCACCGATGAGTTTGTGGGCGGAGATGACCTTAAGAAATTGCGCGCTGTAAGAATTATTGAATTAGGAAGATTGCTGACAGAGTACCAGGTGAGTGGATCCAACTTGATCACGCTGGACTCCGGAGAGTTTGTTTCCACGACGAACAATTCGATAAATAATAAGCTACTTAAGGAGCTGAAGGAGTTTACACTGAGGATAGAGCTTCAGGAGATTGCAGATGGCGCTGCTGACAGGAAGAAAGATAATGGGAAGCACACTAGGAACCACACGCAGCAAAATGTTTTTGTTAAGAGGAATCCAGCACCGCTGGCTAGAAAAATCAGGCAGAATATCGCGATCCAGGCAATCATGAGACGCGCTGAGATGGACCAGGTGCCTCAGGAGAGTTCTCAGACTTTGGACAAGCCTATTGATAATATTTCTGAGTCTAAGGCTAGTCTTGAGTCTGCGCCGAAAGTTTCTGGCCCTCTAGCGGAGACCGTTCCAAGTGTTCCAATAGTTCCAAGCCCGGAACTGATAAACGTCCCGGTTAATATTCCTCCGTACTTTGTACCGAACCCCGTCGTTATGCCTCAGCTGAATGGAGGAATGCACCAGGTCAATGTTAATCCATGCGAGGGCTTGAAAAATCGGATGCTCTCCGTGGAAGACGTTGAGAGTAGCGTGCTAGGAAAGAGCATTCAGTGCAATAATTTGGAGCAAGACCAGCTTGGGCTGTTCATGAACCAACCGACCAATGTTGACTACAGACTTATGAATGAAGAACGGAGCTTTAATATGTGGAACCCTCAGAACACTGCGCCTAACTCCTGGTGGTCGAACACCGAGGCTCCTAAAAATTGTGATTATGATGTAAACTCTTATGCTAATTGGTCTTATCCTCCCGGTGGCTTACCGGCTACGTCTAATGCGCAAGTAAGTATTTTTTAGTTGAAGAAAAAAATTTTTTTTAAATGAGGAATTTTGTAATTAGAATTTAAGGACGAACACCACTGTGGCGGTCGAAAAAAAGGTGATTTTCGGGGAATTTTTTTGACAGCGAAAATAAAGGAATTTGGGAATCGGGTTTTTTTTTTTATTTTATTAAGGATACATTAAAGATTATTACCCTAAATTTTTATTTAAAATATTTAATTATTACAAAGTTATTAACAATCTCGTAGAGCACTAGAAAAAATTTCCCCCTCCATTGTCGTAACGATAACTCAAAAACGGATCATCTAAAAATAAAAACCCAAATTGCTTTTTAATCTGCAGGGATGTAGTTATCGTTGCACGTACGGAATTTTGAAAATTTTAATTTTTAAAAAGATGGCGACTGATTGAAAATTTTCTCATCATTTTTACTGTTTCTTTTTGTTTTTAATAACTACATCCTTACTGATTAAAAAGCAATTAGGGTTTTTATTTTCAGATGATCCGTTTTTGTGTTATCGATGCGACCATGGAGGGGGAAATTTTTTCTAGTGCTCTAAGAGATTGTTAATAACTTTGTAATAATTAAATATTTTTTAATAAAAATTTAGGGTAATAATCTTTAGTGTACTCTTAATAAAATAAAAAAAATCCGATCCCCAAATTCCTTTATTTTCTCTGTCAAATAAATTCCCGAGAATCACCTTTCTTTTCGACCGTCAGTGGTGTTCCCCCTTAATTTGTTGAAAAATTTATATTTCTCCAACTAAGAAATAAAATTGTTTAAAATTTTAAATAAATTAATTTCTTGTCACAATGCCCATTTTTTTCAATAAATTTTTTCTCTCAGTGTGAAAAAAAATTAATTTTGTGTTTTTTTTTTTCAGCAACGAACGGTTAATAATGAAGAAAACGTGTACTCGTTATTTAGTGAAAATTCATGGGAATCGAGTGGACATAATAATTTTCCTAATAGCACTTCGGTTGATAATAATCAGCAGCAACAACGTTCTCTCTGGTCTGGCCCCGGACCTTCTCCGCTGGAGCGGTTGCTGGAGCAGCAAAAATTGTTACGCGGTGATGCTAAAAATTTGGAGGATAAATATATGTAATAAATTAACAAAATTTGTTGGTAATTTATAAGCACATTAGGCTATTGTAGACTTTTGCTGCGTTAATTCAATTGTTCATAATTTTTATTAATGCAATTTTTAAATCAATTATTATTTTGACTGAACACTTAAATAATGTTTTATTTTATGTCAATTAATTACTTGGTATTTTTGTCTAATAAATTTGTAGAAATAAAATTTTAGTCTTGAATTCTAAAAATTAAAGTACTTTAAATTGAATTGATAAATAATTTCTTTTGTAAAATTTGTAAATAAAAATTTAGAAAAATTTCACTTTGTAGAAAAAAGTGTAAATTGTTATAAAAACAAGAACGCTTAAAGATGAAAAATTTTACTCCCATTTTTTTTTTTTTTTTTTCTTTTAAATTAAATTCTTAAGCTGTCTAATTTTATCTCAAAAAATAATAAATAAATTTATTATTAAATGTTATAATAAGAGCTGTAATAATTTGTTTTTTATTCGCTTACAATATTTACAGTCTTATGCAACGTACGACACATTACAATTTATAAATTTAACAGAATATTTCGATAATAAATTTCAATTAATTTTTAATAACTAAAAATAAAATTTATCAATATTAACCATTTAATTTGATTCCTAATAAATTGTCGTAAGTGCTTACCAGATCTTGACACATTTTTTCCGACTATTCAATGTCGACTTTTTATTCAGTTGACTAAAAATACTGACAAACAAAATAGTCTATTAATTAAATAGAAGTAAAGGTAATTGATGATCGTAACCATCAATACTCATTTAAATAAATTCATTCCCAAAGTTATTGCTTTAAATTATCAATGTCTACGTTGTCTAGTCGTTGTTTTAAGTAAAGCGCCGCGTATAAAACAACATTGTCATACAATAAAAATTTAGTGCTAAGAATTGAACAAATTATAAGATCTACCATTTCTTTTTTGATTAACACAATAATCAGCACCATTATATTATAAATAAACCGTATTTATTTAATAACATTAACAGACTTTGCTTCAGAGTAGACTTACAATTTAAACTTTGGCGATCTTTTGTGATGTAGATTTTTTTTAATTTTTTAATGAATTCGTAGTACGAAAAAACTTTCAGCTTTCAAGTGAATTATCCTTTCAGATGTATAATAATATTGATGAAAAATTATTTTAAAATTAAATCAAAATGTGCGGTCTAAGAATTACTAGTAAATATTCTAGTACGATCTAATTGCAGGAGGTACCGATGCACATTCCTGACTGTTCAAAGTCGAGTCAATCACTGGCCGATAGTCGATGGATACCTGAACAAAAAAATAAAAAATAATTACCATTCGGCTAATAAATAATTAAAAAAAAAAACTACCTTTCCAGATTTGGGATCCATGTTCGTCAGCGTGTGCTTTCTCCAGTGTTGGTCCATAGGTTTAGGTTGTTGGCCTTCCAAAGGCTTGCTGTAATCATACTCATCAATCCTATCCTTGTAGTCTTCTCTTGCGTGAGCTCCACGACTTTCCTTTCTGTTTTCAGCCGCATAAATAGTTTGCATGGCGTTCAACATAAGATTCTGAAGCTCCAAGGTCTCAATCAAGTCAGAGTTCCAAATAAGTGATCGGTCGCTTATTTGAAGGTCGTCTAATTTTTTGTAGATGTCAGACATCTTGCGGCATCCTGTAAATTGTTAAAATTAAATTTTTCAACCATAAAAATCCATTAATTAATAGATTTTTATTGATAAAAATTAAATTAATTACCATCTTTAAGAGTTTTTTCTTCTCTGAAAACAGCAGCATGAGTTTGCATAGCTTTTTGCATCTGTAATCTCAGAGTCGCTGTCGAGATAGACCCACTTGCGTGTCTAACATGATCCAAGTTTGCGATTGACGCTTCTCCAGCATTCTAAAAAAAATTTAACTAATTATTTTCAGCATGACTTTAACGGGTTAGAAAGGTTTCACGGTTTCAAAAAATCGATTTTTTTTGTCTTATTAAATTCTACAACATCTCCAGAATATTCGGCTGCCCAATTTCAAAACACAGTAACTAACATTTTTAAATTTTTTCCAATTTTTCTTATTAAAAAAAATTTTACCCGCCAAATTGATGAAAAATTTGATTTATAAATAGAAAATACTTGAATATAAATATTTTTGAGAAATAATACTTAAAATTGAGGTCTAAAAGTTATAAAAAATGCAGCAATACTAAAAAAAAATCAGGTATAAAAATTTTGCAGTTACTGTGTTTTAAAATTGGGCAGCCGTATTGTCCTAAAGTTTCAAATCGATCCGAATAATAGTTTCGGAGATAAAGTTTTAAAAAAATGCGCCCTCAAGGCGCTATTTCAATGTCACTCAAAACTTTAAACACGTTTTTCTCAAAACTATATTTTCAAAGACGGTGGCCAAGATTTCTCGAGAACTACTCAGCCGATCTTGATGAAATTTTAGACAGGTCTTCGAGATATAATTTACAAGGTCTTGAACGGAGAATTTTTTTTTTCAATTACAACTATTTAAAAAAAAAATACTGCGAAATTTTAGCCAAATTTTTAATTTTTTTGTAAAAAACCTCTGCCAAAAAATCCAATTTTCATTTTTTTTCTCCTTCGTTCAAGACCTACTTTGGAGTCTTAACTAAAGCACATATTTTTTTTCACTTCAAATGATCCTGCTAGGAGTTCTCCTGTCCACGCGGACGCGTCTTTTTTCCCAGGACTCGCCGGAAATGACGTCACATTAGCAAAGTTTTAAATATTTCTTTTTTTTTTTAATTTCAGTAATTTCTTATTAAACATATATCTTTAAGACAGTAAAAAGTTTGAATGAAATATTTCATTTTTTCCCCGAAGAAACCCATGTAACCCCTTAAAACAAATTTACGAACAAAAAACTTACCGGACTAAGTGATCCGACTTTTTCACCAGGTTTGTTCTCCTGGGAGATGGTAATTGCGCAGGCGCGTCCAAAAACTACCAAATCTAGCAGAGAATTAGCACCTAGCCGATTAGCACCGTGTACAGACGCAGAAGCAGATTCTCCGCAGGCGTAAAGCCCAGGAACGACCGCGTCTTCGCCGTTCTTGGTCGTCAGAACCTGACCTTTGTAATTAGTAGGAACTCCACCCATGTTGTAGTGCACCGTGGGCAGCACGGGGATGGGCTCACGAGTAACGTCAACTCCCGCGAAGATCATCGCGGTTTCGGAGATACCCGGAAGCCTGGCTGCGAGCTGCTCTGGGGGTAAGTGGTGCAATTGCAAGAAAATGTGGTCCTTCTCAGGACCTACTCCACGTCCCTCGCGTATTTCGATGGTCATAGATCTCGAAACTACGTCTCGCGAGGCCAAGTCTTTGGCTACTGGGGCGTATCGCTCCATGAACCGCTCGCCCTCGCTGTTTACCAGGTAACCACCCTCTCCTCGACTTCCCTCGGTGATCAGACATCCTGCACCGTAAATTCCTGTGGGGTGGAACTGTATAAATTCTAGGTCTTGGTTTGGCAGACCAGCCCGGGTGACCATCGCAGTGCCGTCTCCGGTACAAGTGTGAGCCGACGTACACGAGAAGTAAGCTCGGCCGTAGCCTCCAGTCGCCAAGACTGTGTTCTTGGCATGGAACCGGTGGATAGTACCGTCTTCGAGGCACAATGCGATCACTCCACGACATTCTCCGCCTTCCATTAATAAATCTAGGGCGAAGTACTCGACAAAGTAGTTGCAGTCGTAGCTCAATGATTGACCGTAGAGAGTGTGAAGCAAGGAATGCCCTGTTCTGTCCGCTACACAGCAGCATCGGTGAGCTTGACCGCCTTTTCCGAATTTTAAAGATTGACCTCCAAATGCACGTTGATATATTTTTCCTATAATAATAGAATATTAATTATAAGCAATTGATAATTATTATTATTATTTTGAAATCAATATAAATAATCAAAATTTTACTTTATTAAATAATGACTTTTGTTACATTGCACTGTACTTTCTTAACTATTGACGTTTTTAAAGATATAAGCTCATCCCCAAGTTACACTCATCAAGAGCTTTCATTTGAGTACCCACATGCATTTTGATATATTTTTCATATATACGTTAGGGTAGCGCAAAAAAACTGACTATTTTTTTTTTTTGAGTCTCGAGTAACAAAGTGTTAGTTTTTGATGTTTTAAAAGCCCTCTCAAAAGGACAGCTCAAAAAAAAAATATTCAGAGGTCGCTCCAAATTTTTTTAAATTTCAAAAATCGAATTTTTTTTTTTTTAATTTTTTTCTCGTTACGGTATAATTTTACAGACCAAAAAAAAATAAGTTTCTGAAAGTTTCAGTTCAAAATTAAAAATTTAAAAGGTCGCTCATAACTTTTTTTTTTCTTTAATTAATTATTATTTAGAGTAGGTTTCAACTGCTGTGGTCATATCGCCGACTTTAACTGTTGGGAGTGGTACGTTGGGGTACCTACGCGGCAAGGGTCAAATCTCAACCAAGCTGGCTTCTAAGACCAGTTTGGGATTCGAAACCCCCGCTTGGCCGGTGAGTTATTGAAATATTGTTAAAATGTTGTAGTTGATTAAGTAAAATTATTAAATTAAAAAAAAATTATGTTTTCTATATTGTGCTTGATTTTAGTTCATCTCGTGGTGTATTATTATCGATTATTGTACTAAATAAAAAAAAAAAAATGTATGGAATTTTTATTTCAATATTAAAAGGTCGCTCGAAAAAATCTAAAGTAATTCACTAATAAATTTAAAAAAATTATGAGCGACCTTTCAAAATTTAAATTTTGAACTGAAACTTTCAAAAACTTATTTTTTTTTTTGGTCTATAAAATTATACCGTAACGAGAAAAAAAATTTTAAAAAAAATTAGATTTTTGACGATTTTTGAAATTTAAAAAAATTTGGAGCGACCTCTGAAAATTTTTTTTTTGAGCTGTCCTTTGGAGAGGGCTCTTAAAACATCAAAAACTAATATTTTTTCACTCGAGACTAAAAAAAAAAAAACTAGTCAGTTTTTTTGCGCCACCCTAAAATACATATATGTAATATATATAAATATATAAAAAATTGATGTGGATACTCAAATGAAAGGTCTCGATGAGTGTATTGTCGGGGTGAGCTTATATCTTTAAAAATGTCAATAATTCACAAGGTACAAGGTCATTTCTTAATTATGTATCTAGAGATAGAGCATTTTCGAATGCAGCCAAAATACTTATCATCATAAATTGACTATCAGTGAGAATAATATAAAACCTTGAAAAGGCACAAACTCAAATCAAGACCTTTGCAATGACACTAAATTTTACTAAAAAAAAACCGATTTTATCATATGACTATCCTGGAAACAAAATTTTTCTTATTCTCTTAATAATATAGATGATGAGAAAAATATTTAATGCTAGCAGTCTGCCCCAGCTTCGCACGGGTATTTAACAAAAATTTCAAAATTAATTATAATATAAAATAGCCTGTCACCAGGGGATAGTGTATCTTCCCAACAGTGAAAGAATTTTTCAAATCGGTTCAGTAGTTTTGGAGCCTATTCAATGCAAACAAACAAACAAACAAACAATCAAATCTTTCTTTTTTATAATATTAGTATATATTAAAAATAAAATAATTTTCGATAATCATTTAGTTGCTAAATTCAGATAATTTAACTTCAGTCATTTGTTTGTGTCATTTTATCGAGACAAACAAATTTTTATAGATAAACTTTTGATGTATACAATTTTTATCTTTTTATTAAATAACTTTTAATAACAAAATTTATAATTATAATTGAGCTTATAAAATGGATAGCTATGAAGAAACAGGAAGCGATGACGAAAGAACTAACAACGGTAGTCCGGTACAGAATGACGGTGGAAGACAGGAGATAATTGATTCTAATGCGACCCAATCCAATGATGGAAGACCGCGATCAAGATCACCAATTGTACCTATCAGAGATCACTCATGGAAGAGTGTCAATGCCTTTATTAATTATACAAGTGACTTCAGGAAGGTTTATGTTGAAGTAATTTATTTTATATATTCTTCTATTTAATCATTTAAGTAATACACAATCTATATTATTAAGAGAATAAAAAAAATTTTGTGTCCAGGATATTCATATGATAAAATAGGTTTTTTTTTAGTGAAATTTAATTTCATTGCAAAGGTCTTGATTTAAATTTGTGCATTTTCCAGGTTTTATATCATTCTCACTGATAGTCAATTTATTATGATAATTATTTAGGCTGCATTCGAAAATGCGCTATCTCTAGATACATAATTAATAAATTACCTTGTATCTCGTGAAATATTGACATTTTTAAAGATATAAGTTCATCCGGATGTTACACTCATCGAGACCTTTCATTTAAGTACCCACATCAATTTTTCATATATTTGATATATTTATATATATATGTATATATGAAAAATATATCAAAATACATGTGGGTACTCAAATGAAAGCTCTTGATGAGTGTAACGTCAGGATGAGCTTATATCTTTAAAAACTTTAATAGTTAAGAAAGTACAGTGCAATTTAACAAATATTTTGTGAACTATTGACATTTTTAAAGATATAAGCTCATCCCGATGTTACACTCATCGAGACCTTTCATTTGAGTACCCAAATCAATTTTTCATATATTTGATATATTTATATATATGTATGTATGAAAAATATATCAAAATGCATGTGGGTACTCAAATGAAAGCTCTTGATGAGTGTAACATCGAGATGAGCTTATATCTTTAAAAGCGTCAATATTTAAGAAAGTACAGTGCAATTTAACAAAATTCATTATTTAATAAGACAAAATTTTAATTTTTTTTAGTTCACAAGTCACCACAGGCACATAGTGACTGCAAGGTTGCTAGTAAGAATAATTGTATTGATATTTTCCAGAATCAAAATGAATCTCCCGGTAAAGTAAACCGAAAAAACTTTTTGAAACAAGCCGGAGAAAAATGGAAGCAAATGTCTCAGGAAGAAAAGCAGCCGTATATTGATGGTGCTAAAAGAATACGAAAGTTGAAAGTCGTGGAGCGGCGAAGAAAGAGTCATCAACAGGAAGAAAAAGAAGCACCACAATTGAAAATGAAGAGACCTAGAAAAGCGACTAAGAATAAAAGCTACCGCGTAAGTACTTTTTTTCTTATAAAATAATAATTAAAAAGTATTAATTAAATTTTATCAATTCAGGAGGATGATGAAGCTAAACCCAAGAAGAAAAAGAAGAATAAGGATATTCATTACAAAAACGTGATAATTAAAAATGTTTCCGACTCCAGCAGTGACTCTGATGATCGTTATGGATCAAAAAGAAGCGACACAAGCATCTAAATTTAAAAATTCAACTTGTATTATTTTCAATATTATTAATTAATAAAATAAAATAAAAATCACCATCTTGGGTTCGGCTAAAAGGCATTCCGCAGTTCTCCAACTCAATTACAGCTTTGGGGGCCTCGCGGGTCATATAGTGGATGGCATCTTGATCTCCAAGCCAATCTGACCCTTTGACAGTGTCGTACATATGCCACTGCCAGTTGTCTTCTTCCATGTTACCCAGAGCTGCATTGATTCCACCCTGGGCCGCGACAGTGTGGGATCTTGTAGGGAACAATTTAGTGATAACTGCTGTTTTAAATCCTTCTGCTACCAGACCGTAAGCCGCTCTTAGGCCAGCGCCTCCCGCTCCCACTACCACGGCGTCATAAGAGTGGTCCACTACTGGGTACTGCTTGGAGATAGCGTCCGATGATTTCGCATTGCCGTTTGGTGTGTGATGGAAGCTTCGGTTCGACACCACCGGCAATCCCAGTTTATTCTGCAGTTGGAAAATTTTTAAATTAATATTATTTGAGTCACTGATAAGCTATATAAAATTTATTAAACTTTAATTACTCCGATAATAGATTAACTGTGACATTAATAAATACTTTGATAGCCAATAAAATTATATTGGGGAAAAAAATAAATTACAATTGTTAAAAATTTATTTCTTTATCTTTTAAGTTTTATCTTTGGTATTTAAATTTATTGTAAATATTTGAGTTATTTAAATTACTTTAATTAAATAGCAAATATGTGAGTATGGTAATTTTTTTTTTTAAATTTAAATATGTACTAGAAATAGTATATTACATACCTAGGCCAGTAAAATAAGAAAAGTCTCAGATCACATGTAATTGTTGGCCGAGGCGAAGCCGAGGTTGACAAACATGTGGTCTGAAGCTTTACTTTTTACTGGCCTAGGTATGTAATATACTATTTATTTCTTAGGCCAGTAAAATAATAAAAGTCTCAGATCACATGTAATTGTTGGCCGAGGCGAAGCCGAGGTTGACAAACATGTGGTCTGAGGCTTTACTTTTTACTGGCCAAGGTGTGCATACTATTTTTCTGCTCGACGTAGCCGGAACGTGGCAACTTTGTTTAGCGCAGCGGCCAGAAAGTTGCCACTTTCCGGCCGGAGGGCAGAAAAATTTATTTTGTTTTTAGAGTTGGGTAAACATAGTTGTAGCATGTGATTAAATAATTTACGTCATTAATTGCAAAATAAGTATTATTATTTCGAGTCGTGAACGCGCATATTGTTAATTTTTAACGTGAAATATAACTACTGAATATTTAAGTATAAATAACAATAAAAATTATATAAATTTTAATGTGATTGAAATTGACTCATCTGATAATTTTTAGAATTTTTTTTAACAAATTATAACAAAAAAAAAAAATTTATTTTTAAAAGCTCTAAAAAATTATAAATGCAATTTTTTTTAATTAATTTTCTAGGGCTAGTTTATTTTTTAAGAAAAAAAATTATCGCGTCTGCAAATTTTTTAATTATTATAAAGAAAATTTTAAAAAAATTTGCTTGTAGAAATTTTATAAATACAATTCCTTTTAAATATTCTATAGCAAATTAAATTGAAAAAAAAAAAAAAAAAAAATTAGATATCGGCTAGTTTTTATATCATATTTATCACACCCAGTATTTCATTCTATAATTCCATAAATTATTAATGTGGGCTACTACGCACAAAAATATAAAAATTTATATACTTTATGCTGTAACATTGAACTCTCAAAAAATATGGCTTTTTGGAACTTAAAAAATTCTTATCAATAAAATTGTTTATTTAACAAATTCTTGACATCTGAAAAATAATTTTTTTATTATTATTAACTTAATAAATAATAAAATGTAACTTTCTAAATTTCATAATCAAAAAATAAAGATCTCTAATTAAAAATATCCGTTATTTCTAAATGACGTTTTAAAAACACCAGAGTATCAAAAATAAAATTCTAAATTAGAGGAAATCCATATTATATCCAGGCGGGTAAAAAACAAGGGTGAAAATTGCACAATACATCTTCACAGGCAAATCCATCAATAATCTAAAAAATAAAAAAGTAAATAAGGAAGATCAGGATTAAGTTACGTAACAGTCGACAAAGTTAGTCCCAGAGTGAAGTTAAGTCTTGCAAGAAAATGCGCAAGACTTGTCGTTGAATAAATAAAAATTATTATATAACTTAAAAAATAATATCCATACCAGAACTCTAGCGGGTTGTCCCGAGAGAAGAGACGAGAGCTTTAATAATCCACTCATCTTTTATAATTAATCCTTTAATATTACTTATTTATAAATATTTTACTCCAGAAAATAATATAGAACGGTAAACACTGAACAATCCACTTTAACACGGTACCTCTAACCCTAGTTATTAAAAATAAGTTCGTTTTTTAACTCGCGTACTTCTTGTACGGCGAAGCTTTTAAAAACGACTAAACAATACACCGCAAGCACTGTGTCTTCAGATTAGATTTATTAGCTTGATAATGTATGTACGTCTATGTATATATTTGTGATCAATGCTGTGATATATGACTCTCTCTCTCACTCGGTCTGGCTCATGTACCTTTCGTAGTGTAATGAGAGGTCTACTTAGCAACTCAAACTCAGGTGGTCATGTGGAATTCAGAGCTTACCAACATAACCAACCAAATTTTTTTTACGTTCAACTGTAAGCTGTCAACTGACATTTATTTTCATAATTTTACTTATTAATAATTAATAAAAAGCGTTTAAAAAGAAAGATTATTATTTATTAACATTTTTATAAACTTTTTTTTTTATGACACTGAAGTCGACAGATATTAAAAATTTTTTTAGAATTTTGTGGCAGTGAAAAAAATTTAATAAAAAAATTTCGAATATAAAAATTAAAAAAAATTATTAGTGGAATTTTTTTTAAGTATTTTTCAATTGTAATTGATTTATTATAAAAATTTTAAAAATTGACAGCTGTCAGCTAACTTCAGTATTATTTTTTTTTTTTTTAGAAAACTGACATCTCTTCACTTCTTGATTATTTCACTCTAATTAAATTTTATAATTAATTTATAAAAAATTTTATAACTTTTAGATTAATTATAGCAAGAAAAATTTTATCTTTGAAAGCTCTAAAAAATTATAAATGCAATTATTTAAAAAATAATTTTCTAAACCTAGTTTATTTTTAAAGAAAAATAAAAAAATTGTCGTGAGCTAATTTTAGTGTCAAATAATTATGAAAATTAAATTAGCCGACATCTGAAAATTTTTGTAATTTATTAATATTTTTTTTAGTTCTAATTTAATTAATAAAAAAAAATCAAAAATTATTTAACGTCGGCTAATTTTAGTATCACCAATTAATTTTATTAAATTTGTGTTAATTTTATTTTTTATCTCATAATTTTTTTTATTATGTAATTAGTTTATAAAATAAAAAAAAAATTATTTATCCAATATTTTTTACCAAAAAAAAAAAAAATTCTATCTGAAATTGATAAAAAAAAAATTAGTTATTTAATTAACTCAGTTAATTTATTTATAAAATAAAAACAAATGTTCTTAAAATTCGCAATTAGAAGTAAAAAAAAAATTATTGCTAAAAATGATTAATTACTTAGATTATCAATGAAAAGATAATTCTAGTAGGTCATGGATGTATTCTTCATAATCAATGAAATAAATTGGTCGTATACTCTAGCGTAACAATAAATATAACTATAAGTATATATGTACATACAAAACCTTGATTATGATTACCGATGGAATATAATAGACAATCCACAAGTCAATTTAAATAAATAAAATAGTGACAGTAATTTAAATATATTACAATTGAGTTATGTATATACACACTGAGACATTTGCCAGACGTATTAAATACATGATTGAATAAAATTAATAAACGCGTACAGCTGGGGGCACATGCCGAGCTTCTGACTGGTCGAGTGTTGTGTCAATGACCGCCCGATAAGAAATGCAAATCTATTAATTATAAAAGCAACAAATAAGTATTTATGTTTTGATTTATGAGTTATGACATATCGCTGTTAATCATATTGATTGGCTTACAGATCCATTGGGTAGAACCCAAGTCAGGGAATGTTTTCTCCAGTGCTCGGTCAAGGACCTTCTTTCTTGGCCTTCTAGCGGTAGCTTGTAATCATATTCATCAATTCGTTCCTGTCAATGATTATTAATTATTAATTAATTATAAATTGTAATAATTTTTAATTATAATTACGGGAAAATCATCACGAGCGTGAGCGCCTCGTGATTCTTTACGATTCTCAGCAGCGTAAACAGTGTGCATATTAAAGAGCATCATATTTTGTAATTCTAATGCTTCTAGCAATTCTGTATTCCAAATTAAAGAGCTATCAGGCATCTGAAAATAAATTAAATAATTAAAACTAGCAATCTTGCAGTCACTATGTGACTACCGTGACTTGTGAACTATAAATAAATAAAATTTTGCTTTATTAAATAATTAATTTTGTTAAATTCCACTGTACTTTTTTAACTATTGACCTTTTTAAAGATATAAGCTCATCCCGATGTTGCACCCATCAAGAGCTTTCATTTGAGTACCCACATGCATTTTGATATATTTTTCATATATACATATATATAATATATATAAATATATGAAATTTAATTACTGACGTTTAAACAGATATAAACTTATCCCGATGTTACACTCATCAAGAGCTTTTATTTGAGTACCCACATGCATTTTGATATATATTTCATATATATAATATCTATATATATATATATATATATATATATATAGGAGCTGTTCTATATATAGATTGACTCATCACGATATCTCTGGAACTATAAGACCTAGAGACTTGAAATTTGGCAGGGATATTACTTTTACCATGTAGAGGTCAGCTAAGAACGGATTTTAAGAAATTCCTCCCCCAAAGGGATTTGCGGGGGCGTTAACAATGAAAAATTCCCGTTTTTAAACTATAGCTCCTATCGACTCCAAATTTGGTAGGAATCTTTTGTAAGAGATGTAGAAATATTCTATGAACGAATTTTACGATATCTCACCCCCATAAGGGATTGCGGGGGTGGCTATTAACAATGAAAATTTTTAATTTTCGTGCTATAGCTCCCATCGACTTCAAATTTGGTAGGAATCTTCTGTGAGTGATGTAAAAATAGTTTATGAACCAATTTTCCGATATCCCATCCCACAGGGGGTTACGGGGGTGGGTGTTAACCATGAAAATTTTCAATTTTCAACCTTTAACAACTATTGACTTCAAATTTGGTAGAAGTCTTCTTTAAGTGATGTAAAAATGATATAAGAGCGAATTTTATAACAACCTACTCCCAATATGGATTGCGGGGGTGGGTGTTAACAATTAAGATTTTTAATTTCCAAGCTATAGCTTCTACAGGTTTTGAATTTGGTAAGAATCTTTTGTATGTGATGTAGAAATGATATAAAAGCGGATTTTATGACAACCTACTTATAATATGGATTACGGGGGTGGATGTTAACAATTTAGATTTTTAATATCCGAGCTATAGCTCCTACAGACCCTAAATCTATATATACATAGGAGCTGTTCTATAGATAGATTGACTCATCACGATATCTCGGAAACCATCGGACCTAGAAACTTGAAATTTGGTAGGAATATTACTTTTGCCATGTAGAGGTCAGCTAAGAACGGATTTTAAGAAATTCCGACCCCAAAAGCATTTGCGGAGGTGTTAACAATGAAAAATTTCCGTTTTTAAACTATAGCTCCTATCGACTCCAAATTTGGTAGGAATATTCTGTAAGAGATGTAAAAATAATCTATGAACGAATTTTACGATATCTCACCTCGACAGGAGGTTGCGGCGGTAGGTATTAACAATGGAAATTTTATAATTTTTAAGATATAGCTCTTACAGACTCCAAATTTGGTAGGAATTTTCTATAAGTGATGTAAAAATAGTTTATGAACGAATTTTACGATATTCCACCCCTCAGGGAGTTGCGGGGGTGTGTATTAACAATGAAAATTTTTAATTTTCAAGCTTTAGCTTCTATCAACTCCAAATCTGGTAGGAATCTCCTTTAAGTGATGTAAAAAAAATTTATGAACAAATTTTACGATAGCTCACGCCACAGGAGGTTGCGGGGGTGGGTGTTAAAAATGAAAATTTCAAATTTCTGAGGTATAGCTCTTATATGCTCTAAATTTGGTAAGAATCTGCTATATGTGAGATAGAAATGATCTAAGAGAGGATTTTATGACAACCTATTCCCAATATGGATTGCGGGGGTGGGTGTTAACAATGAAAATTTTAAATTTCCAAACTGTAGCTCCTATAGGTTCCAAATTTGGTGAGAATCTGCTATATATGATGTAAGAATGATCTAAGAGCGGATTTTATGACAACCTACTTCCAATATGGATTGCAGGGGTGGGTGTTAACAATGAAAATTTTTAATTTCCAAGCTATAGCTCCTACATGCTTCAAATTTCGTAGCTATCTTCTATATGTGATATAGAAATAATTCATGAACAAATTTTACGATATCCCACCCCCAAAAAGAATTGTGGGGGCGTTAACAATGAAAAATTCCCAATTTTGAACTATAGGCTCCAAACTGGGTAAGAATTTTCCGTGAGAGATGTAGAAATGATATACGAACGAATTTTACGATAGCCCACCTTACAGGGGTTTGGGCGGGGAGGTGGGTGTTAACCATTAAAATTTTTAATTTCCAAGCTATAGCTCCTATTGTCGCTAAATATGGTAGGAGTTTTCTCTTTTCTATATGGGACACAGAAATCATCTAAGAACGGATTTTACGACGAACCATCCCTAATAAGGATCGCGGGGGTGGGTTAACAATAAAAAATTTTAATCTCTAAAATATAGCTTCTAAAAGCTGTAAATTTGGTAGGAATCTTTTATTACTTACGAGGAGAGAATCTCAAGACGGATTTCAAAAAATTCTACTTCCTACAGGGATTGCGGGGGTAGGCGTGTTAAAATCCAAAATTTTAATTTCCAAACTGTAACTTCTACAGTCTCTAAATTTAGTAGAAATTTTCGTGAATAATGTGAAGTTCAGCTGATAATGGATTGTCTCGAATTCTAACCCCAAAAGGGATTGCGGGAGTGATAATAGTCAAATAATTCATATTCTTCAAATACAGTTCCTACAGATATAAAACTTGATAGAATCTTAAGAGAAACGAAAAATTACAGGGATGGCCTTCAAGGTCAACCGATTTAAATATTTTTTTCTTAATGTCAATTATTATTCATTTTTGGAAAATAGCCACGGGAATGATATAGTGATTGCACATTGAAAGTTACAATAATTTTTAGCTAGAATAATTACAGGAATAAAAGGTCAATCCGATGGAATTTGGAATCTGTGCAAGTCAAAACAAGACTCCAATTAAATTTTAAGTCTAGATCTAAAAATACAATTCTATTTAATTCTAAATACAATTCTAAGTGCCCAGCGAAGCGGGCGAGTAACTGCTAGTATATAAATATATGAAAAATTGATGTGGGTACTCAAATAAAAGGTCTTGATGAGTGTAACGTCGGGATGAGCTTATATCTTTAAAAATGTCAATAGTTCACAAAATATTTGTTAAATTGCACTTTACTTTCTTAACTATTAAAGTTTTTAAAGATATAAGCTCATCCTGATGTCACACTCATCAAGGGCTTCCATTTGAGTACCCACATGCATTTTGATATATTTCTCATATATTCATATATATATATATATATATATATATATAAATATATGAAAAAGTGATGTGGGTACTCAAATGAAAGGTCTTGATAAGTGTAACATGGGGATGAGCTTATATCTTTAAAAATGGCAATAGATCACGAGATACAAGGTCATTACTTAATTATGTATCTAGAGATAGAGCATTTTTGAATGCAGCCTAAATACTTATTATAAGAAATTGACTATCAGTGAGAATGATATCAAAGCTTGAAAAAGCACAATTCCAGGTCAAGGCCTTTCCAACAATACCAAATTTAACCATAAAAACCCATTTTATCATATAAAAACAATGGCCACAAAATTTTGCTTATTCTCTTAATAATATAGATTACAAAAACTAAAGTACAGTCGAATTTTTTATGCAGATATTTAATAATTTTTTTAACAAATAAATTGTGGCTAAAAAAAAATGAGAAAAAATGACGAAAAAAAGAATTGAAAAAAAAAAAAAATAAAAAAATTCTCAAGTGACTGCTAACTTTAAAGTCATTAATTTTTTAGATACTTACTTTAATATTCGGCAATTCTTGATTATAAAGTCTTGTAATTTCTTTACAACCTAGCTGCAAAATAGAGCAAGTTCTAAAAACTCCGCAATATTTAAGCATAGTTCTCTGCATTTCTTCCCTCAAGCTTGAAACTGAAACTGACCCTTTGGAGTACCGTGTTGCGTCAAAACGATGCAGAGTTTCATTTCCTAGTTCCTAATTATTTATTACAATTTATTTTAATTTTAATTATTAAACAAAAATTCATAATTAAAAAATTAACTGGATGAATATCTGGATGTTTTTGTCCGAAGTTAAGAACAGCTCCAATATTTTCAGCAACAGCGCGACCAAAAACAATTATCTCCAGAAGACTATTGGCCCCGAGTCGATTCGCTCCGTGAACTGAAGTACAAGCAGCCTCTCCAGCTGCCCAGAGACCTTGTACAGGTTTGTCTTCTTCATTATCTCTTGTCAGTACCTTAAAAATTCAAATTTAATTTTTTTCATTTTTTTCAGGTGATTTAACATTACCTGGCCACGCCAGTTGGTTGGAATTCCGCCCATATTATAATGCGCGGTAGGGACAACTGGTATCGGTTCTTCTTCACAATTTACACCGGCAAACACCCAGGCAAGGTGCGAAATCCCGGGTAATTTTGATCTTATTAATTCAGCAGGCAAGTGATTCAGTTTTAAATACACATGATCTTTTTTATCACCTACTCCTCTAAAATTTGATCAAATTTTTTTGATAAATTTCAAAAAAAATAATTTGAAAATTAAATACCTCCCCTCGAGAATTTCAATCATAATCGCTCTTGAAACAACATCTCGAGAGGCCAAATCTTTGGCTTTGGGTGCGTATTTTTCCATGAAAAATTCTCCCTCTGAATTAACCAGCTTTCCACCTTCGCCTCTACACCCCTCAGTAATTAAAACTCCGCTTCCGTAAATTCCTGTTGGGTGAAACTGGATGAACTCCATGTCTTGCAAGGGAATACCTGCTCGCGAGACCATCGCCGCTCCATCTCCAGTGCAAGTATGAGCGCTGGTGCATGAAAAAAAACATCTACCTGCTCCACCAGTCGCTATCACCTTTTGAATTAATTAAATTAGATTTTTTAAATAAAATTTAATTGATAAATATTTACCGTGTGATGAGCTCGGAAGCGATGAATCTCTCCAGTCTCCAACTCCCAAGCGATAACACCTCGGCAAGTCCTGCCATCCATCAGCAAGTCAAGAGCAAAGAACTCGACAAAATAATCAATGTCATACTTCAAACTCTCGCCATAAAGAGTGTGCAAAAGTGCATGACCCGTCCGATCTGCTACTGCACAAGTTCTCAGTGCTTGACCTCCTTTGCCGAAGTTCAGAGACTGCCCTCCGAATGCTCGTTGATAAATCTTGCCGTCTGCAGTACGACTGAAAGGACAACCTTCAAGTTAAGAATAAATTATTTATATTAATAAGAGAATAAGAAAAATTTTGTGGCAGTGTATTTATATGATAAAATGGGGTTTTATGGTTAAATTTAGTATCATTGGAAAAGTCTTGACTTGAATTTGTGCCTTTTCAAGGTTTCATATTATTCTCACCAATAATCAATTTATGATGATAAGTATTTAGAGTGAATTCGAAAATGCTCTATCTCTAGATACATAATTAAGTAATGACCTTGTATCTCGTGAACTATTGCCATTTTTAAAGATATAAGCTCATCCCCATGTTACACTTATCAAGACCTTTCATTTGAGTACCCACATCACTTTTTCATATATTTATATATATTATATATATGAATATATGAAAAATATATAAAAATGCATGTGGGTACTCAAATGAAGGCTCTCCTCGATTAGTGTAACATCGAGATGAGCTTATATCTTTAAAAACATCAATAGTTAAGAAAGTACAGTGCAATTTAACATAATTAAGAAATGACGTTGTATCTTGTCAGCTATTGACATTTTTAAAGATACAAGCTCATCCCGATGTTGTACTCATTAAGACCTTTCATTTGAGTACCTACATCAATTTTTCATATATTTATCTATATTATATATATGTATATATGAAAAATATATCAAAATGCATGAGGGTACTCAAATGAAAGCTTTTGATGAGTGTAACATCGGCATGAGCTTATATATCTTTAAAAACGTCAATTATTAATAAAGTACGGTGCAATTTAACAAAAGTCATTATTTAATCAAGCAAAATTTTATTTATTTATAGTTCACAAGTCACGGCAGTCACATAGTGACTGCAAGATTGATAGTTGTTAATAATTAATTAATAAATTTAATTTAAATTTATTTATGATTTTGAAATAACTCACCATAATTTTCTAGTTCATGAATAGCTCGAGGAGCCTCGCGGGTCAAGTAATGAATAGCGTCTTGATCTCCAAGCCAATCTGAGCCTTTTACGGTGTCGTACATATGAAACAGCCAGTTGTCTTGCTCAGAATTATTTATTGCAGCATTTATTCCTCCCTGAGCTGAAACTGTATGGGATCTAGTGGGGAATAATTTTGTGACTACAGCTACTCGGTAGCCTTTACTTCCTAGACCAACTGCGGCTCGTAATCCTGCTCCGCCGGCTCCTACTATTGCTACATCATAGCAATGGTCAATCATCGGATAAATCTGTAAAGTAAATAAATTTATTTTATTTTATTTTTTAATTACAATTTTTTTATATTGATATATTAATTTTAATTTATACTTACACATCTGATCTCAGATGATTTGAAGCTTAAAGTACGCTTGAGAATTTTTTTACATAAGCTTGAAACTTTGGTGGTAAACATTGTGATTGGTTATTAATTCAGATAAACAGTCTATATTCATATAAATATCGATGCTTTTTTTTTTTTTTTTTTGGAACTGACTGATAAGGATAATAAAAAAAAAAAAAACAGCAAAAATTATATTCTAAAATTTATTTATATTAGTCTAAAATTTAAATATGGCTTCTACTATGCATTCTCTTATAAAAAATTGACAAGAGAGACTAGCGCACTACATGTTGAATAAACCATCAAAGTATACTTATATATCACACTCGCTCAATAAAATCTAATTTTAAAATACTCTCACTCAAAATCTAGAGGAAGTGATACAATTATTTAATTATAATAATAATTAATAAAGTCTAAAGTCTACACCTCAATTTTTATATAAAAGATAGTTTGTAAAAAATCACCCATTCATTTAGCTCAGTCATTTCTTCACAATATCAGAGTTTAAATCAAACGCTTCTTAAAATAATTAAAAAAAAATCAATATAATGAGTAACAGCACAAGATTAGTGGATAAATCAATAAAAGCATTCTTAATGGTAAATAATATATAATAATATAATGATAATAACAACGGAAGATAAATGTATATATGTATAACAACAAATAAAAAAAAATAATAATTAAAATGTGCGTTATTCAAAACCAAATTTTAGTTTTAATTTGTAATTTTAATAGTGGAAATTTTTTTCTGTGATAAAATAATTGATTGTCACAGAGCGAGTCTCTGGATACCGCACTCACAGCAGAATTTGGCAGTTTCAGGAAATTTAGTACCGCATTCATGGCAAAATTTAGACATTTTTGATTTTAAATTCGAGATTATTTCATTTTCACGGCGACGCAGCAGCGATGTTTCTTCCTCCAATCTTCCTGTTGTTTCACTGCGTCCATTTGAATATTTTCGATTCAAGCTATAAAAATAAAATTATAAATAAATTTTTAACAAAATAAATAAACAGTTTGGAAAATCCAAAAGTGCACGACTCATAATGCTCATTTAATTATGAAATCTTAATAAAATAAAGAATGTGAAAAAAATATATAAAACAGCTCAAATAGCACGATAGTGCACAAGATATACTAGTCTTCTGGATTTTGTTTTATTTCATTAATTGTTCATAAACGACACTGAATTACCTAGTCATTCGCATTCGGTGACCTACAATTCTTTCAAAGAATTAAAAAAAAAAAAATTTGACTCAATTAATACATTTTTTTCGCAAGTTACAGTGTTTCCGGAGTTTCATACATGACGGACAGAAACATTTTTTTACCTATTTTGATGTTTTTTTTTTCCGTTTTTATTGTACTAAATCAATTTTTGAAACGTTTCAAATTAATCTCCATTAAATTATCTTGACAATATTATGCAAAATATATTGATTCCGTGAACTAACAAGACTATAATAATAAAAATAGTTGCCGAAACGAGGCGAAAAAAATTTTTTGATCGTAAAGCACTCTCTGATGCTTCGCATCATGAGTCGTGCAATAAATTTTTAACAAAATAAATAAAAAAGTTTGCCAAATCCAAAAATGCTCATTCGTTCGATAAATAAAAAAAATAGTTAATGTTCTGGAAAAATATTTTTTTCTATTTTATTTAAATATTACTGTTGCAATTTACTATTTTTTGTTTGTTTTCTATTTTTTTAATTACTTTTCTAATACAATTTCTATTTTTTATTTTATTTATTTTTTCATTTTAAATATTACGCGGCGTTGTAAACTGATCATGTGCACTGAGTGTATTTTTTTCATTGATTTTAGTTTTTCATTAAAAACAATTAAACAACACTAAATAAGATAACCATCTTCAATGATAATCTCCGCAAAGTGGATGCCAAGCTAATAAAAAAAAAACTTATTGAATCCGTGAGTTTTTACGCAAGTTATCGTGTTTATTGACAGAAAATTGTATTGATTGACAGGAATTTTCTTTTAACTATTTTGATATTTTTTTCTGGTTCTATTATCTTAAATTGATTTTTACGTGATAGAATTAATCTCCATTAAATTATCTATCGAATGATCCCTGATTAAAAAATCTTATTTGAAATGATTTAAAATGATTTAAATGCATCGGATTTTATTACTATATAAATATACAATTAACATGAAGGTAATCATTTCAAATCATCTTTCTGAATCAGGGTATGTACAAATTAATTAGACTACGTAGATTACAAATCGTGTAATTAATTAAATAATTGCGAAATTGAGGCAAAACAAATTTTTCGATCGTAAAGCACTCTCTGATACTTCGCACCATGAGTCGTGCAATAAATTTTTAACAAAATAAATAAATATAAAAATATTATACCTGCTGTAAGCAGAGTCAGCGCTCAATTTGCTGCATTCCTGTTTCTTGAAGCTATCAGGCGAGGACAAATCTTCATCACTGATCTGGCCATTGCGGGTCCGACTGGGCTGGACAGGACTGGACATGGACAAAGGATCGTTTTTTAAAAAGGATCTCAAGGAAGGATACGAACCTGAGTCATCGTCGAAAGAGCTTACAAGGTCGTCGAACATCGAGTTCGACCTCTTTACATCAATCTCAGAAGAAACGATCGAGCTTAAGCTCAAATTGCTTCCACTGAGATTGCTGAAATTATTCCTTTGATTATTAAACCTCGTGCCCGGGCTCGACCTCGAGTTGGCCTTGGCCGTCTCTTTGCGCTCGGGGATTTTCGGCGCGGAGGCAGCGCGTACGGAGTTTGACCTGGTGACCATTGGTCTTATGGGTTTCACGGTAGTTTTCTCGACGACCTTGCGCGATTTGTCAGTCGAGGTCACTACTCGTCTGTTAGAATTCGGGTCCAGAGAGTCGTCAGTCGTCGTCCCCAAAGCTCTCGCCTTGTCGATGATCATTCGCCGACCCAGAACATGATTCGTGCCAGAATGGCTCGTTTTGTTTTTGTTGGCCTGGTCTTCACGGCGACAGGCCGACTCGAGCTCGGCGAATAATTCTCGGGATATCGAGTTTGCTTCCGTAGAGTCCGAGGACGAGAAACCTATTGACAGGTCGTCGAACTCTGACGGCGGAGCCACCACCGAGCCCCGCTTCTCTGGACTCCTCGCGTTGTCTAAATTAAGGGAATTGGGGTATTTAACGAATGCTGATGAGTGGGTTAGAGGATAGAGTGGTGGTGATGATGATGAAGTGGACTGTGAGGATGTGGGTTTAATCCCGTAGCGATTCAACGGCGAGTCCGTATATGATTTGTCACTGCATGTGTCTGACAGAAGGTCAGTAAGTTGCTGCTCTGCTAATAAATATGGATCGTAGTCCTGACATATTCCTCTGTAAAAAAATATATATTTAAATTAGTACAATTTATTTTTATTGATGCTAATTAATATTTATTATTTATTATTATGAAACACTCGTGCATAACGTCATTCTGCAGGTGCAATAGCTGCTGTAATTAATTCATGCTATAAATAATATTCATTTTAATAATAACAATAATAATAATAGTTGTTTATAAATTGATAAATTAGAAAAAAAAAATTTTTCAATTAAAATATAAGATGAATGACCTAATCAAAGTTGTAAAAAATTAATTTTTTTTAGGTAGATTTCGTAAGAAATCTATAACTATTGCATTAGTCCTCATGGTAAAATTTTCACCTGATTTTACTATCATGTCATAATTAGTCAAGTAAGTTCAAAAAATACCATTGGTTAAAAAATTTATGTATGTACTTTGTACATATATATATATATATATATATATATATATATATATATATATATATAAATGTGATATAACCGACTTTGTCATGAGAATATCTGCAAAAGTTTTCAACCGATCTTGATGAAACTTGGTACACATATTCTTTGGGTAATTACCTTGAACGAGTGCAAAGATGAGTAAAATCGGTCATTTGGTTAAGAAATGGCGGCCATTTAAAATTTTCAAAATAGTGAAAATCACGTTTTTGGTTACTTCATTGATATATAACTTTTGATTGAAAAGAGATAGTTGATTTTTGAAAAATCCATAGCTCATGAAAATAGCTCATGAAATCGCCTTTAGTTTGACGTATATATTGACGTGCAATTAATACTTTATATAAGATAGATAACCGTCTGGATGTTTATAAGATTAGTAATTCTAAGTGCTTCTCTAAACTTTATCTGTCAAACATTGTATAAACTGGAGCATAATATTTATTCTTCCTAGTTAGTTAATTAATTAGTGAATTATCATAATATAACTCTTAATTTAAACATATTGTATCAAATTATATGTAATATGGAACCCGATTAATGGCTTTGCTGTAGGGTTCATTAAACTTATAAAAATAAAAAAATATAACATTGACTTTTTGTCATTTTATGAAAGTTAAGAGGTCTATTGAACCATTTTCAGGCAATGTGTAGTATAACCGACTTATAAATGTTATTTTATCAAGAATTCTCAACAGACCCTAATGAAATTTGGTACACACATTCCTTGAACAATTCAAAATTATCAAAATAGTGAAAATCATGTTTTTTTGAAAGCTCATGAAATTGCCTTTGATTTGATGTACATAACATTGATTTTTTTTTTCTTTGTTACCTTCAATATTATAACTAAAATTAAATATTTTTTATTAACTTAATTTTTTTTACTTATTCATGATGAAATATTCATATCAACGTGAATCTCGTAGACATCATAATCGATTAAAGAAAAAACTCATTATTAAAAAATCATATATAGATTTTGCTCATCTTTGAACTAGTCCAAGATAATTATCCAAATAATTATCGGGTGAGGCCGAACGGCATTTTTTTTACTTAATTTTTAATTTCTCAAAAAAATTTTTTATTTAATTTTTTAAAATGATTAATTATTTAAAAAATTTTATCGATTAAGATGAACTAAATCCAGGAGCTGTAAATAATTAAAAAAATTGAGGATGTCAAAATCGATGATCGCGTGTCGTTAATTTTTCATACTTGCATGTTAATGGTAAAATAAAAGTTTTAATTAAGTGACGATCGATGTAGAAAAACCAAGTGAAGCGTGATGAATATTCTGCCCAGGAACGTATATTTTATACTCTCGGTTCTGCATTTCATTCTTATGATAGCTGTTTTGCTAGCCGTAGCCTAGAACAAAAACTTACGTTCTACTTGTTAGCACAAGATTAAAGTCCGGATGTCTGCGTACGTAATTCGTCCACGCTGGGTGAAAATCTTGACCACAGCTCCTAGAATTTATGTCATACCAGACTACAGATCCTGTATCCTAATCGTAATTATTCTAGCGAATTTATTTCTACCTTCAGAAAATTGTAATGAGGACAATGACTCAGGGATTAAATTAAAAAGCAATTTACCTGGAATCGAAGGGGACAGGAGGTAGGAAATTTTTGGGATTTTTCATTAAGTGATAAAAAAGTCTACTTCTCGAAGTCCTCATCATGCGCTTCCAGTAGGGAATTTCTCTGTCCTGAAAGCTTTTCTCCAGCCTCTGGTCGACTTTGGTGACAATTTCTGGAAACATCAGCGACTTTTTCGCAGGCCTTGATTCATTTTTTCCCTCTACATGCGCGTCAGCTTCTACCGAAGAAACCAACGAGTCTGTGCTGTCTCTCAAGATATTCATCTTCTTCCTCAACTTTTTCCTCATAATCCGGCTGGACCTCGCAGAGTCCAACGAGTCACTCGTAAAATTAATCGACGGCAACGAGTAATCAGTATCATTGTCCTTGTCTCGGCCTTGATGAATCTTCAAAGGAGTTACTTTTTCACTGATCACTCTATTTTGATTAACGTCAAGAAATTTAGTATCAGTTTCAAATAACGGGTCTTTCAAAACAATATCATCAAAACCAGAATTAGTGTTATTAAATTTGTTATGGTTCTCGTTGTCAATCTTGAGACAATTAGTGTCACTAGTTTCTCGAATGACATAAGTGCTACATCTTTTTTTAGACTGACTGTTCGGTCTGTCTTTGCTTTCACACTCGTCATCGTTAATCATCACCTTGGTGTTGTCTCTATGACTGCTTAAATTTTCATTTCTAAAAGACACTGGCGTACTGGCGCAAGTAACGTCGATATTAAATTTAGTCGGGCTCGACGGAGTCGATTTAAATTTATTAAATTTTTCTTCCTCCATTAAATCGTTGTCCAGCTGCTTTAAAATAGTGTCAATGCCTTCGATTACATCATTGTCAACATCGCAATCAGCTTCCTTAATCAAATATGTTTGGTCTAATTCATCAGCTAAACTATCATCATCATTATTATTATTAATATTATTGTAACTATTATTTAATCTCGAATCACAAACTTTGGCTTTATCAGATCTTATTTGTTTCCAAGTTGTCAACTCCTCCCTATGGGCATGACAAGGTCTCGCCGTCATGCCTATCACGTCATCATTTACCGTGACATCATTGACCTTGAGGTCGCCGAGGCTTCTCGCGGATACAATTGGATTGCACTTGGATTTTTTTTTATTTCTTCTACTGCTTTTAGTAACTATTAATTTTTTATTGGCGTTATCCTCTTCTAGCGACGCTGATGTCAGTGGTGGAACCGAAGATTGACATTTTCGGAGCGACGTGGGAGATTCCTGAAAGTTATTACTTCGTGGGTAGTCAGGTGGAGTTAGGATTAATAAATCAGGATCGTGTCTAAGGAGAGATGTTTGGTATAAATATTTACTAGCGTGTGCTCTACTCGCGACTCCAATTATAATTTATTTATTACAAACTATTAAACTATTAAAAAATAAAATAAAAATAAATATACTTACTTAGTAGATCGGTCAGACGGTCGCGATTTCACAGGCCCGGGTGCAATGACTCCGTCACTTTTTCCATGTCCGCTTCTTCTTCTGTAATTAAATTTAAATATATTATGTAATCTATATTATTGAAAGAATAAGAAAAATTTTATGTCCAGGATAGTCATATGATAAAATCGGTTTTTTAGTGAGATTTAGTTTCATTCCAAAGCTCTTTATTTGAATTTGTGCCTTTTCAAGGTTTTGAGATCATTCTCACCGATAGTCCTTATTTATTATAATAAGTATCGAGTCTAGATTTGAAAATTCTCTATCTTTAGATACATAATTAAGAAATGACCTTGTATCTTGTGAACTATTGAAATTTTTAAAGATATAAGCTCATCCCGATGTTACACTCATCGAGACCTTTCATTTAAGTACCCACATCAATTTTTCATATATTTTATATATTTATATTTATATATATATGAATATATGAATGTATAAAAAATATATCAAAATGCATGTGGGTACTCAAACGATAGCTCTTGATGAGCTTATATCTTTAGAAACGTCAATAGTTAAGAAAGTACAGTGCAATTTAACAAATATCTTGTGGAATATTGACATTTTTAAAGATATAAGCTCATCCCGACATTACACTCATCGAGACCTTTCATTTGAGTACCCACATCAATTTTTCATATATTTATATATATTATATATATATGTGTATATATGAAAAATATATCAAAATGCATGTGGGTACTCAAATCAAAGCTCTTGATGGGTGCAACATCGGGATGAGCTTATATCTTTAAAAAGGTCAATAGTTAAAAAAGTACAGTGGAATTTAACAAAAGTAATTATTTAATAAAGCAAAATTTTATTTATTTATAGTTCACAAGTCACGGCAGTCCCATACTGACTGAAAGGTTGTTAGTTTATTGTTATTTTAATAAAATTTATTGGTTGTAACTACAACTATTAACCATTAAGCATAACGTTTGAAATTATTACTATTACCAAGTCATTAATGCAGATGGTTAAGTAGAGCAGACAAAAATAATACGTGATGTATCCAGCTGGAGCGGAAGTCCCGCGTTTGACAGTTTTAATTACGACTTATGAGACAACATACGAGTGCAGTAAAAAAAAGAAAACTAGGCAATGAGCCAACAAAAATTATACTTACTCAGTAACTGCTGGCTGTTTTATGTTCATAGGATCCGTCGTTTTCAATCCACTTGCATCCTTTTTAAGCTCCGAATTTATCGAGTTCGTGTTGTTGTTGCTATTACGATTATTATTACTAATAATATTATTATTGTTGTTATTATTGATGTTTTGAGTAACATTATTTTTCCTCGGAGCATATTTTTCCCTGTTTGTCATTCGGCGACTCTTGAGCAACGGTGCCCGGTAGTTCATCCTCGCGTCGAGACGTTCTTTCGCAACATTTGTAGCCTGACTCGCCGGAGCTCTCATTATTCGTTCCTTGCACCAAGCAACATGACGATCGTAAGCCTTGATTCCAAATTGGCGATTGCATGTTGGACAGAGTCCTTTTTCGTTGGCACGTGTTGGAGCTCCGGGAGCTACAGTTGTTACTTGCCGATACTGCGAGCTCGTTGCAACCTTAAATAAATAAATAAATTAATTAATTAAAAATAAATTTTTCAATTAATTAATTTTTGAATAAATAAATTTTTTAATTGATTAAACATAAATTTTTTAAAAAATTAAATATAAAAAAATTTACAAAATAACTTACAGTTTCTCCTCGAGCAGCGCGGATAGTCTTCAAAAATTCATCATGAGTCTGCTTCCAGGTATTTCTATTTCGAAATTTATCTTCCGGGCGCACATCTCTTTTAGTGACGACTTTCGGCAAGTATTCTTCCAGCTCGGTTCCCTGAAGTCGCTGCTTAAAAGAGTCAAAAGGCTTGCGCTTTTTTATCGCCGCTCGCTCGCAAATTTTCGTGTGCTTCTCCAACGACTGGGGCTTGAATGTTCTGCCGCATATCGAACAGGGCAGCAGTTCCAGTACCTCATCTGTTGCCATTTATTTATTATTTAACACTTAATATTAATAAATGAACAATTGAGTAACTTTCCGACGATATTATAATAATAATATTACACATAAAAATAAAAAACAAACGTGTCAACTTAATTTACATAAAACCCAAGCTAATTTCCATAAGATCTCTATCTTATTATAATAATCGCATGTTAAACGCCACGTTATTTAAAAAAATTAATTACACATTACGAAATAATAAACACTCAATTCAAGAAATGAAAAAACTAGTGACACTCTGGTTAATTAAAAAAATTAGTGAATACAATTAGCAATTGATTATCTGGTTGTTTTAAACCAATGAAGTTATTAAGACTGACTGAAGTTACTCCGAGTTTCTTTTACCAGCAGAATAAAAATATAAATAAAACCAAGTGGACAAGCACCTGAATTTCAATAAGGCCTCGGTTGCCTTCAACAACAACTTTACCAACACACACTTAAGATTAAATAAATAATAACAATAATGACATTAAAAAACTAAAAGTCATAGTGTTCAGCATCGCCTACGTGAGCAAGCTTCCTTTTCGGGTGATTTGTCGACCGAGTTACGGCCAGATACGCCTTGATGTACTCTCATCTCATACACCTTGTCTTAATAATGCACCAGCACCAACAATAATGCAGTTTCCTTTTCCTTTCGGCTTATACACATCAAGTATTAATTACCCTCATTAACAACGTCGTTCATATCAATATAATAATAATAAGTAAATAAAATACAAGTATCATTACAGCACATGAATTAATACTAGATAAAATACAGATCAAGATGACGATGCTCTCGTATATGGCCAGACCAGATTCACCTTCAATACTATCGTGCTCTGTTATATTACGTAGCAAGAGACACTGTTTACTCACATTATATTTACATTCACAATGTCCATATAGATCTTTAAGCGTAACCAGTTTATAAAACTATATACTCATTCTCCAGTCGCTCAATTGCTAATAACCGTTTGTTAACACACCATTTCTTCACAACCTTCTTACAATACTGATTAGTCCAGCAAGCGTGTTAGTGTTAGATGTTAATGCCAGGAAACTGCAATTAAATATTCATTCTGTCAATAAATTACGCATAAGTAATTTATTTTTTTTTTAATATCTTACCGTACGATTTGAGGTCGTTGATAATCAGCTGGCTGGCTGGAAATTTCGAGGAAGTCACAGTCGACGTCGAAGATGAAGAAGACGACCGCGACAAAAGAGGAGGTTTCTTTAGAACAGATCCCTCGGCGGTTTTTCTCGACACACAGCACAACATCGAGGCAGTATCTGAACGAAGCGCGATTGAACGTCTGATTGAGACCAAACGCACAGTAGTAACTGAGAAGAAACGTGCTCTAAGCGACACTAGCCGTCACGTTGCATTATGGATTCTTGTCTACGTAACCTGCTGCTGCTTCTGCTCACGATTAACGTCTGGTTATTTTCGTAACCAGCTTTTACTTTTTTTTGTAAAACCGTCCAACTAAAGATACCTTAAGATACTATTATTTATTATTAGATTACTCTTCGCGGCCAAAAGAAAAAAATTCTTTTCTAAGGGTTTTATTGTAAATAAAGTTATTAATTAATTTATTTATTTACTTAAGTTAATAAATAATTCTACGGGTTTTATTAATTTTTATAAATTATTTTTGACATTTTACCTTCATCTGCCATGTCTGTTGTAAACCAAAACACTGGTTACCATGACAACCCTAAGGCAGTATTTACTCAACCGAGTAACATTCGATTTTATTAATGATTCATTAATTACCTTTTTATTTATATATAGACGTTCTGTCAATATTAATTAATTTTTTTTTTTTTTAATAATTATTTATTAAAAATTAATATTCTAAAAAAAAAAAAAGTATATTAAATTATTTTTGTAATTTGATTTTTGACTTGCGCAGAAAAATTATAAATAAATAATTAATTATTGCAAAATTATTTAGTAATAATTTTGTAATTACAGTGAGATTTATTAATACTTATGTCAAGCTGGTTGTATATAAAATTTTATCGGTGAAAAAAACAATTGAACTAGGAGCAAAGAGTAAAATATATTTATAGGTGGCGATAAAGTAACAGAGTTTCGAGTTTCGAGATGTCACGGACGTGCAATTTGTTGACAGGACGCAATTATTTATCGATATTCAAGGTAATTTTGTTAGTTATTCACAACAAAATCTTCAATTGTCTCTATAGACATTACATAAACATGCTTATGAATAATTTATCAACCTTATTATTGTGCATTAGAAGCTATAAATAAACATAAATATTATTTGTGTTTATTTGACGCGTGACAGCTGATTGTGCGCAGTTGTTTTTGCGCTTGCGTGCAAATACGCGGTTGTATTTTAAATCATTTATGTTTAGGCGGGAAAACTCTTCGCGAGATCATATGTCACCAACACGACTTTTGAGAGCGAGAAGTATATCGAGAGCGACGACAGCAATGGAGTAAATTTTTTTTTCAATATACAATTTTTTTTAATCTATTCTAAGCAATTATTTTTCTTACAATATTAATTATAATAAATTATGTTAATAGGTGAGAACAATTACTCTGAGCCATGATGCATCTAGAAATTCCCTGTCGCTGGAGATGATGAAAATATTAACCTGGAATTTGGAACGAGACGATGATAAAGAATCATTGAGAGCGATTGTAATAGCTGCAGCACCCGGCAAAGTATTTTCAGCTGGTCATAATCTGAAAGAACTGGTTAGTATAATTATTTTCAATCATAGACTTTAAATTAATTAGGTTGTGTTTATCATCCAGACAATGACATTATAGTTAATGAAAATAAAATATGTAAATTAAGTTAGCCGACATCAACAAATTAAAAAATTTTTTTTATTGAAAAAATTGTAACAAAAAAAATAAAAAAAAATTCATTCGTAAAAAACTTTAAAAACTATAAGAGCAATTTTTAAAATATGTTTTTTTATTTCTAATTTAATTAATAAAAAAAAATTAAAAAATTAAAGACGTTGGCTAACTTTAGTATTATAAATAAAATTAGCAGACAGCTGACAATTTTCAGAATTTTTTTTATTTATAAAATTATCACAAAAAAATTAAAAAAAAAATTCCACATGCAAAAAATATGAAAAGGGACACGTGCAATTTTTTAAAATTATTTTTTTATTGCTAATTTAATTAATAAAAAAAAAATTAAAATTTCTCGCCGTCGGGAAATTTTAGTTTCATTTAAAGTTATCAGTCACTTGGCCACTTTTTAATTTTTTTTTTTAACAAACAAATTTGTTCCAAAAAATTATTTTAAAAAAATTGCATTTTTTATTTTTTACAATTTTTGCGGGTCAATTTTTTTTTTTTTGCATAATTCATTTGTTACCAAAATTTTTAAATTATCAAAGGTCTGCTAAATTAATTTTAATATTCAGACAACGGCAAAAGGTAACAAGCATCACTATGAAGTCTTTGAAACAGCTGCCAATTTAATGAAGACGATAACTAATTCTCCAGTTCCTGTAATTGCTGCTGTTGATGGTCTTGCTGCAGCAGCTGGATGTCAACTAGTCAGTTCTTGTGATATTGTTATTTGTACAGAAAGAAGTAGTTTCTCTACTCCTGGGTAATTATTTTTTCTTATATTATTTTTGCAATTATGATAATTTTTCATATACTTATTCCAGAGCAAACTTTGGAATATTTTGTTCAACTCCAGGAATTCCTTTGGTACGCAACGTACCTCAAAAAATAGCATCTTACATGCTGTATACTGGTCTTCCCTTAACTGCCCAAGAAGCTTTAAATGCTGGACTTGTCAGTAAAGTTGTGCCTAATGACAGACTTTGTAAGTGTACCTATAAGTAATTAATTAATTTATTTATTTATTGATGATTAGAATAATTTTTAATAGATGAAGGAGTGAAAGAAACAACGGACACAATTAAATCCAAAAGCCGAGCTGTCGTTCAACTAGGAAAGAAATTCTTGTTCGAGCAACAAGAACTTGACCTTTCCTCGGCGTATTACTACGGCACCGAGATTATGTTGCAGAATTTGGAGTTGAAGGACGCTCAGGAAGGAATCAAGAGCTTTGTAGAAAAACGCAAGCCTGTTTGGAAGAATAAATTCGAAAAAGATGAAGGTTTAGAATAAAAATATACAAAATTTCTGAATAATTTATCAGGAATTTAAAAATTATTTTCAATACTTAAAAAGTCTTGATAAAGCTGTGATAAATAAATAAAATATTAATATTTCTGGGTAATTTATATAAATAATTATTGTGATTTGTTTATTATTAAAAAGTTCACGGGGGAGATGTTTGACGTCAAACAAAGTCAAGATTAAAAATTATTTTCTCAGGTCAAAGATTGACGATTAAAAATATCTGATGATTCAATCGAAAATTTAAATATTTTCATTGGAATTAATTAAGATGAATAATTATAAATTAATAATAATTTCGACGACTAAACTGATACTTATATTCTCTAACAACTGTATAATAATATATTTATACTCTAATTAAAACTCGAAGATGAATTTCCATTCTGTCCGAAGTGCAGCGATAAGTAGAGCGATAAATCCCTCACTTAGACTGCGTATGGAAATGCATGACCCCAAATTAATGTTCCTCATTTATGTAAAAACCCGATATTGATAATATTAAAAAGCAAAACAGGAACTCAGAGGTTTAGAAATCCTTTGGTGGTCGCTGAGTATCGGGAGTTTATTATTGCCGTCTGATAACTCTGTCAATAAAAAATACCAATTACGCAACAAATAAATAAAAATATTATACTGTGTTTTAGGAAAATTAAAATGGCCTTGAATTTTGTACTGGAATCTTTAAAAAAAAAATTAATACTTGTTGTGTAATAATTTGTGATAGTTAATATATTATCTAATTAAAATATTTTAATCTAATTTATATCTTTTATTTTTATTCTGACCTCGCTATCGGATTTTTAAAAATAGAATTATTTTAAAAATATTTACTGATCATAAATACTGTATTAGATTTATATTTTTAGATATTCGATTCATTAATTAGCACATAGTCGATTACTAATTTTTTTTTTTTTAATTTATTATCAGGCCTCCAGCGTATTTTAATGAACCTGATATTTTGTTATAAAAATACGAGGTTGTAAAAATAATAACTATCTTATCGTAACACTGTCGACCGGACTGACATTCAAACGAACCAAAATTTCCGATAGTGCAGCTTAAAACCTATCAAAAGTGAATTCAATGTCACCAGTACATTTAAAAATGAAAAAATTGATAAGATATTTGTAATTTTTTATTGTTTAATAAACCGGGGGGTCGTCTGATATTCGAGACCGTCAATGATCTTATTAGTTTGCATATTCTCCCCTCTTGTTAACTTGCGATTAACTTATATAAACAACTTTGAGTAATATTGATCAGTTTACCCGAGATCTTTGTAAAGTTCAAGTGACTACTTGACAGCTATTTGCTTTGTTTTAATATTTATTCTTAGTTATTATTTAGTATTACAATTAATATTTATAGCTTGACGTGATTCTAAACGTTTGTTTTATTGTTTTTAATAAAGAGAAAGTATTGTTCTGTTATTGAGATATTTTATGATCTTCATAGTTAATAATAAGAGTATCTGTATGAGATTTTATACATCTGAACCCGACGTTCCGTTGAACTCATTACAAGAACCCATAGCTGTTGGAAAAATTTTCTGTCGGCGACAGATTTACGAATTTATTTTCGACAGCTGTACTGGTGAGTTATTTTAAAATTTTCCACCTCATTTAAATTAAAATAAAAACGGATATAGTATTAATAATTTTTTTAGATTGCCGTAACATGGCAGCGGTACCTCAGGGTGCATTTGCAGTTTGCAAAGTTCAAGAATTTATGGAGCGTAGAGCTCTAATGCAAAAGCCTGATAATATTGAAGAAGAAAACTTGGGTGGATTTTTCAAGAATAATTTATCTGAAAGTAAGTATAACTAGCAACCTTGTGACTGCTATGTGACTGCCGTGACTTGTGAACTATAAAAAATTAAAATTTTGCTTTATTAAATAATGACTTTTGTTAAATTACACTGTACTTTCTTAAATATTGACTTTTTTAAAAATATAAGCTGATCCCGATGTTACACTCATCAAGACTTTTCATTTGAGTACCCACATCAATTTTTCATATGTATTATATATTAATATACCTATATGTATATATGAAAAATATATCAAAAATGCATGTGGGTACTCAAATGAAAGCTATTGATAAGGATAACATCAGGATGAGCTTATATCTTTAAAAACGTCAATAATTAAGTAATGACCTTGTATCTCGTGAACTATTCACATTTTTACAGGTATAAGCTCATCTTGATGTTACACTCATTGAGACCTTTCATTTGAGTACCCACATGCATTTTGATATGTTTTTCATATATACATATGTATATGAATATATAAAATATATGAAAAATTGATGTGGGTACTCAAATGAAAGGTCTCGATGAGTGTAACATCGAGATGAGCTTATATCTTAAAAAATGTTAATATTTCACAAGATAAAAGGTCATTTCTTAAAAATGTATCTAGAAATAAAGCATTTTCGAATGCAGCCTAAATACTTATCGTCATAAATTGGCTATCGGTGGAAATGAAATGAAAACTTGAAAAGGCACAAATTTAAGTCAAGACCTTTACAATGACACTAAATTTCACTAAAAAAACCGGTTTTGTCATATGACTATCTTTGAAACAAAATTGATCTTATTCTCTTAATAATATAGATAACTAATTATTTTTTTTCCGATTAATTTCATACTGAAATTTTAAAAAATTTTCTTTTTTTTCTAGAACAAGAACTAACTCCCTTAAAATACAACAGCAAGCTAATGAACAGCATCTGGGGACTGTACAATCGTTACTCTGTTCATAATTTGAAAAAAAATACCGACCCCGAAGGACTTCTCGCTAAAACTTTGGGGAACGTACTGTTTTCCAGTACCTCCTCAAGTGCTTCAGCTAAAATACCTGAAACATCTGCAGAAGCTCATATTCTTTAAATTAAAACAAAAAAAAAAATTGATTAGTAACAATAGACAAAAATATCGCCTACCAATACACAACTGTAGAGCTTTTATAAAAATAAAACCAAGTGACTATTTAATGAAAATTTAATTTACTTTAAAAAATACCTTAAATAATTTTTATTTATTACTTATTATTAGAAAATTAAACTAATAATTATTTCCTTGATTTGCGAAGTGAAAAACCTTCACCAGTAAAGGCTTTGAATTCATCAGTATTTTTTTCCTGTATAAAAAAAATTATTCATGAAATGAATAATTAATTATATTTTTAAAAAAGTTATATAAATAAAATTAAAACTCACATCTTTAGTAGTGTTAATGGACTTGATATTGCGTAAAAAGTTAAGTGTTCCAATTTTATAATCGTAATCAGGAATCCCCCGAACATAAACTGGTTTAGGAACTTGGGTTTCTGATGGACCAGAGTCTTTGCGTTTTTTACCATCCAGCCTATTACCCTGACCCTGAAAAGCAAAAAATCCAGTCGACTCAGGCATTAAATCAGTAGGATCAATTTGGTCTTCCTGTGGCTTTTTTTCTTCTCGCTGAGGCTCTTTGTAACCAACTGGCGGAGCAAATTCAACGTTCATATCGCACTCGATGATAGAAACCGCAGGTCCAGGCTTAGTTTCCAAGACACACATCTCGTAGATCCTCTGATTATACTGAATGGCGACAATATCTCCGGTAGTCAAGCAAGCGAAGCTACGCAGTCCATTTTCTAAAACTGCTTTCGGGTTTGTGATATCCAGGAAATCTTCAGATTGAGGCTGGAAGCGTGCGTAAGTCGCCACTGGCAATGATACGCTCTCGATGTTTATTATTTCACTCTCTTCCAACAATAAGTTGTGCATCATCTGTCGTAACATGTGGTATTGAATTTAGCAGACATCTTATAATTTTTTAGATTTTTATAACAATTAAATTATAAAAAAAAATTTAGCAAAAAATTCCACATGCAGGAATTTTATAAAACTATAAGTGTAAATTTTGAAAAATATTTTTTTTTTACAATAATTGATGATATTAAAGTTAGCTGTTACTTCACAATTTTTCAATTTTATTTAACAAAAAAATTTATTTTTAAAAGATTGCATTATTAATTTATTAAAATTTCTACATGTCATTTTTTTTACTCATTTTTTTTTTACTTTATTTATTAAAAAGATTCTTAAAATTATCAAATATCTGTTAAATTAATTTTAATCAATAATTGATTTGTTATAAAAATATAAAAAATTGTTAGATGACTGCTGATGTCAGTATCATTCGTAAAATTTATGTTTAAGTAGAGAAATAAAAATAAAAATTACCCAATATGGAAGATAAACTTTTCCCTCATCTGCTACGAACTCCAAGACACCACAGTGGGTCACACGATTAGTCTTTTTATTAGTTAACTTAAATAACATCGGGTAGACTATATTTAATCGAGTGAGCTGCTCCAATGCTGAAGGTGGCATAATTACTAAAAAAATCAACGTTGGTTATCAAAAAAAATTATTTTAAGATTGATAATTAGGTTAACATACTTTTTCCTCCACGTTCTACATCTTGTCTCTCGTTTCCTGGGAACATCGAGACAGAAAAACACTTGTATTGGGTGTTGAAGGGTCTCGGGAACATGTTAAACGCAAACTAGAAAATAATAACACAAATGTTACTTAGTTCTAACCTAAAAAAATATATTTTCTTGATTAAATATTTTTTATCAAACTTACCATTTTGATTTTTTGAATAAAATTGCAAGTTACAGAATAATTTAACTATCAATAAATTTTGAGTTAAGAATAAATTTACTTTAAATTAAATGTAAATAATAAAATGCTTTGTAATGATTCTAAGCTTGTTGTTGTCCTCTGACTATTTATAAATCCTTTATTTATTTTGATGAACACGTAGAGGGCGCTATACTGAAATTTAATTGTTTTTAACTATAGTTATATTAAGGCTGAGCTGTAGTGAACCGTTTTATAAAATCTTAGTTTTCTAATAATTTTATAAGAATAGTTTTTATTTAAGTAATTTAAAGCTTCTGAGTAAATTTTTCATATTTACTTCCTCGGAAACCTTGAATTTTTCAATTCTCAAATTTATTTAAGGTCTAATTAGAAAAATAAAATTCTGATAATATGTTGAGTACGGCCTACCCTTAAAGTATACTTATCAAATAAAAAAAATTTTTATTATAAACTTAATAACTAAATTCTATTCTAAATTTAATACTAAATAAAAAAAAAATTTCATTTTATTAAAAAAATTATTTTATTCAAGAATAGACTTACCTATGTACATTATTTATAAATAACTTAGTTATAAATAAAAAAAATAGTATTATACATCATACCAAATTATCAACAACTTTTCACTTTCTATTTTTTTTCTTGTTTGAAGATTTTTTTTCTTTTTCCTGTTTTTTCTTATATATTTTCTTCTCTGACTTTTTCTTCATCTCCTTCGCCTTCTCCCGAAGTTTAGCCTTTTTTTTTCTCTTTTTCTTTTCCTCCTCTGATGACGATAACGATGATGATGATGACGACGATGAAGAATTTGAGCTACAACTCTGAGTCAGAGGACGAAGACGACGTCGAGGATGACGATGAGCTAGAGGAACTAGGTTTCTTCAAAGTCTCCAATATTTCAGGCGGAGGAGCGGCCGAGACCTTAGACCGAGACTTCAAATGCTCTCTCAAATCATCTGTCAATCCTCCCAGCCCGATGGTAGTAAAGAAATTGACAGCAAACCGCGTCTTCTTGTCTGTATTCCTTGGAAAGAGTCCTTCGAAGGCTTCTTGCAATGTGACGTCTTTAATTCTGTTGTTCAATTTGGGCACGCCCGTGTACTCAGATAACTCTTGGAACAATATTTTTATAAACACACGGCTACTAGGAGTTGTGTCTTCTTCGTTCAACTTGATGCAGTTGAGCACCACCCACGAAATAGAATCTGTAATTAGCAGATGGGCAAAGAACTTGGCGACATTCCTCAGCTTATTCATGTCCAGTCTGTGAATTGTGTCGTAAGATTCTTTAAAAATCTCCTCAAAAGGAGTGACGTAAATTTTATTTATTGCACAGAAACGACCAGCTAACAATCCGTAAAATTTTTCATATGTCCTATTCTCCTTGCAGCAGTCTAGAAACATGTAACAGAGCTCGCGCTCCTGTCCGGGCTTCAGCTGCATCTTCATAAGCTTGTGCGCGCACTCTTCAAAGTCCAATGAAGAATGAATTGTCAAATAGATTGTCCTCCTGAGAGCCTTCAAATTAGTCTCAGTATTATCCAATATAACGTCTTTCTTCTCGGCGTCTTCCTCGTCACCACTGTCATCTTCCTCAGAACTATCCTCATCCTCGCCACTGGCATCACTGTTGTCAGAGCCCAATATTTCTTTCTGCAACTCTATATATTTCTCTTCATTTTTAATATATTCGCTATCAAATCTAAATACATTGATAATATCTTCGGAGTCGTGCTTATCTTGGAGCTGAATGACGTGGATTATCTGATGATCCTCGTCCACAAGATCCAGTTCCTTGGGGACAGCCACGTGGTCTTTGAACCCATCCTTACGTATCTGGAACATGACTTCAATCATGTATTGGATTCTTTTATCGAGTTTCCCCTCGTGTAAAATATTCCTCAATAGATCAATCAAAAATTTCCACGATACCAGGTTTAGAAACTTCGGTTAACTTGTGACCACATTCTTTTAACAAAGCAATAGCTACTTCCACGGAGTCGTCAGTGGGATTTTTCAACAACACGTGCCACAGTTCCAACACGATAATCTCATGAACAACACGCTGGTTGATTAAGTGTACTATGAAACTTCCTGAGGAAATACACAAAGATTTATTATTAGTTTTGTGTCCTCGTATGAACTGTTTAACCAGTCTGTGGATGATCAGTTCTCCAATATTTGGAAATTTTGAGTTTAGAATCGCCGTCAGAGCCGCATAAATAGGTGTAAACGTAGGAGAAGCAACTTGGGCTTGGATAATCGACCTAGCCAAGAGTCCTCTTCCTCGAATAATATTCTCCCTCAAGAGCTCCCTGGTGATGAGACCTATGTTAGAGGTGTTGACCTTATTAATATGCCCATGCATCGATTTTTTAAGAGCTTCCCACGCGATACGTTGGTAAGCTGCTGAAGACTTATCAGTAATTTCCGCCTGCATCAGCTTCAGCTTCGCAGGTGGTATATAGGCTCCTCCGGTCTTGGAAGTTATTAAGTCTACAGTTATTTTTTGTGAATGTTCACTACGTCTCCGGTGTTTACCTCTTTCTTCTTGGTCATCCAGGGACTGGTAACGTTTCCTTTTCCTCTTTTTATGGTCTTTGTCCGGACGCCGATGTTCATTGGGGCTTTCTACGTGTTCCATAGCTATTAATACGTTTATTCCAAAACAATTAATACGTTCGGAGGTTAAGTTTTCACCAAAAATAGTTTTATAAATGAAATTTGATTTTTAACTAGATTCACTTAAAAAATAAATTAATATTTCACTATTGTATTTAATATAAAATAAAAACTATTTAATTAAATAAATATATCACTTTAAATCGTTGATAAACTTTTTTTCAGAGTTGGAGATCGGAATAATAATACAACCTTGTGCTTGCTCACCACACTCTAGAATGAACTGATGAACATATGGCGGGTATATTTATGAGATTCTCATGTAGGAGGAAAGTATTTTAATTTTTCCCTCCATAAATTAAATTTATTCATTCTTTTACATACAGATGTCACTTTGGTCTTTGACCAACCAATGGGAATTTTGTATGAATTATTGGAAACTCGCAGTCAATATTTATGAAAGTATAGCTTTAGTCAACGGAAACTGAAATTAAAAATATTAAAAAAATCAAAAAGTTCTAAATTATAATTATGACACTTCAAAAAAAAATATATCACTAAAGTTTATCTGCTATTATAAAACACGTGCTTCATAATTATTAATTAATTAATGAAAATATACAAAAAATAAAAACCATTGCCGGAAGTTGAACTATGCGCATGCTTGCTAAACAACCGTTGAAAGTCATCATTCATTTTAAATTTTAACCGACAACAAGCTGCGTCCCCTATTCTGGGAGTTAGTGTTGAACTTTTATTTTCTACTCTGACAATAATGACCAACGCACTTTCAATAAATTTTTTTTTTCATCAAGACTTGTAAAAAATAATTCAGTTTATAAATTTTATAACAATTGTCGTCCTAAAATACTATGAAATCAACAATGGCAGACGACACAGTGCGGGTTGCCGTCAGAATTAGACCTTTGGTGTCATCAGAGATCGATCGAGGTTGCCAGGATATCCTGAACGTGATCCAGCCAGAAAATCAGGTCCAAGTTCGAAATGATAAAGCATTCACATTCAACCACGTATTTGGACCAAAATGTACTCAGGATGAGTTCTATGAGACCGCTGTTTCGGGTATGATCAGCAAGTTATTTAAAGGTAAGCCTTATTTTATAATTTATTATTTAATGAGATTAAAGTTAGCAGTCACTTAATAATTTTCTAATTTTTTTTAACAAACAAATTTATTTCCGAAAATAACTTTTAAAAAATTGCATTTTTAATTTTTTTAAATTTCTACGTGTCAATTTTTTTTTTCTTTTTTTTTCCCCATAATTTATTTCTAAAAAAAATTATTAAAATTTAATAAACATTTGCTAAATTAATTTATAATACTAAAGTTAGTCGACATTTTTAATTTTTTGATATCTTTTTAAATTAAATCAAACCAAAAAAAATACTTTTTAAAAATTTCACTTGAAGTTTTTCACAAATGAAAATTTTTTTTAATTTTTTTGTAATTATTTTATTAATAAAAAAAATTCTAAAAATTTTTAAATGTCGGCTAACTTAATTTTCATAATTATTTAAGTTGTGAATTCACCAATTGATTTTTGCTGTATTTATTTAATAGGTTACAATGTCACAATCCTTGCCTATGGCCAGACGGGAAGTGGAAAAACCCATTCAATGGGAACCAACTACTCAGCCGGCGAATCCATGGGTGTAATTCCGCGAGCTATCAATGATATATTTAAGTGTATCAATGACGAATCTGATAAATACAACTACCGAGTGACAGTGTCTTTCATGGAGCTGTACAATGAACAATTATATGACCTCCTGGCGGATAAGAATCGAAAGGATTGCGTCGTCGACATAAGGGAATACAGCAATAAAGAGATCAAAATAACTGGAGTCACAGAAAAAGAAGTGAGCAATGCAGACGAGACTCTACAGTTACTCATCCACGGGTCACAGGGTCGTGCCACTGGGTCTACGGCCATGAATGACCAAAGTAGCAGAAGCCACGCAATATTCTCGATGATCATTTTCCAGGAGCCTAAAGACAATCCAGCAAATGCCACAACTGCAAAATTCCATTTGGTCGACTTGGCGGGTTCTGAGAGAAGCAAGAAGACTCAAGCCACTGGTGAGCGCTTCAAGGAGGGTGTAAATATTAATAAAGGTCTATTGGCGTTGGGTAATGTCATATCACAACTGGGAGACAATAATTCCAACTCTTTTGTTGTTTATCGAGACAGCAAACTTACGAGGCTCCTCCAAGATTCTCTTGGAGGAAACTCAATCACATTAATGATTGCCTGCGTGAGTCCGGCTGACTATAACCTAGAGGAGACTCTCAGCACTCTCCGGTACGCTGACAGAGCCAAAAAAATCAAGAACAAACCTATTGTCAACCAAGATCCGAAGACTGCGAAGATAAATTCCTTGCAAGCGGAGATTGTTAACTTACAATTGGCACTGGCTGTTAAAGGACCGCTTCAAGGATGTCCTCCAGAGCATGCCGAGCTGGCTGAAAGGAACAAGTCTTTGCAGAAAAAATTACGCGAACTCACTGAGAAGTTCAATGCGAATATGTTCGAGACAATGTGCATGAACGAAAGGGCTGAGTTGGCTGAGAGCGCCAAGGAAAAAATTTACTCGGGATTGATGAAAATTTTAGATGAGTTTGACAAAATTCTGGAGGACCAGTCCTTGGAAAACTTCTACAGGGAGACATTGTGTAGTATAAGAACAAGGATTCACGAATTGTTGAATCAGCAGAAAAAAATGGACGCTGAAATTTATCAGCAAATGTCGTTGGAGCAGATTCCTAGGTCTCAGAATACGACAGAGGATACTGAGGAAGACCAGCGGAGCTTTGATGACAGCGTTCATTTAGACGAAGAACATGCAGAGCACACCCTAAGGCAAGCTGACAGAAATAATGAGGTCCAGAACATCAACCGTGAGCTTGCAGTAAAAGAAGAACTTATTAATCGGCTTTTGAGCAATGCGTCGCAAATTGCGGAGCAGACTAAGGAAGTTCAGGAGATGGAGCTGGAAATAAAAAATTTGCAGGCAGAAAGGGATAAATTATTGAAGACTCTGGAAAATGTGCAGCATAATTCGGCAAGTGCGAAATTGGCTGAGTCACGCCGTAAAAAGCTCCAGGAATTTGAGAAGAAAATTTCTGAGTTGACTCGTAAATGTACGGAACAGAATCGCATTATCAGGGGGAAAGAAAAGTCAGATCAGCAGATCAAAAATTTGACTTCTGAAATTCAGGCTCTGAAACAAACGAGGGTGAAATTGATTCGAGAGATGCGCAAGGAGTCGGATAGATTCACGCAGTACAAACAGCAGCGAGAAAAAGAGCTTTACAAGCTGAAGGATCAAGATCGCAAGAGGCAGAATCAGATGGCGCGGATGCAAAATCAGCACAGCAAGCAACAGAATGTTTATAAGAGAAAGATTGAAGAGTATGCTGCGATGAATAAACGATTGAAAGAAACGCTTGAATTGCAGACTAAGGCACAGCAGCGAAGAGAAAAAAATAGCAGCTCGAAAGAAGGTAAATTATTAATTTTTAAATATTATCTAGTTGCTAGTATTTATTAATGTTTTTTGTATAAACAATACTTTTTTTTTCTTAGGTATTCAAGCGTTGGTTTCGAGGGAGGTTGACGAAGCTCTGGAGCGCGTCAATTGTGAATATTTGCTGGATAAATACATGAAAGAGCGCTCAAGTTACTCACAGCTGCTCCAGACGCACAAGAAACAGCACGCTAATGACTCAGCAGAGAATTTTACAGAAGAAATGAAAGACCTGCAGGACGTTATTGATCTTCTAAATACTCAAATCGGTCAGTTACAGCAACAGCTGATGGAGGCGGATAAAAAAAAGTCCAGTGGCAAGTTTCAAGAAATTACCTCGATGGGAGACGCCAAGTTGGCTTTGAAAACAGCGATCGAAGTGGTGACTGATAATTGTCGCAAACACTGGACCAAATCAGTCAAATACGATTTGCTTCGTCCCAACTTCGACGATCTTGAAAAGAAGCATGACCAAGTTCTGATGGAGAACCGACAGTTACAGCTCCGAGAAGAAAATATGAAGAGGCAAATGGAGGAGCTGAAGCAAGCAAACGAGGAACTCCGGAAGGCTGGGCCGGTAAAAAAAGTCAGCACTGGCAATAAAAAACCCCTACGGGAATGGGATTCAAATGCTTATGTTTATCAGAACATTTCACTGGACGAGAGTGTTGTTGACTACGAAGACGATATTGTCAAAGATCCTGACTGGTCCAAAACACCTTTGTACAAACGTACTAGGACTACTTTCAATGTTATCAACAATGGCTCTCTCGAAGAAAGCGTTCCGTCTCTTAAAAGGTCTTCTAATGGTGATATCAAATGCAGCTGCTCGAAAACCAAGTGCAAGTCGCGGTTATGTTCATGCCGAAAAAATAATGGTGTTTGCGGACCCAGATGTGGCTGCGACGACTCTTGCGAAAATAGAGATCCTGATAAGACCGGTCAGCTGTTTTTCCCAGATAAGGTCGAATCCAACGATTTCAAGCGATCAAAGTAAATTTTTTTATTCATTTTTTTTATTTCTTTTATTTGTGAATTTTTTGTTTAATTATTTCTTTCGTTTATTTGTTTCAGGATCGATGCAGAGGGTTGATGAAACACACATAAATAATCAATTAATGAACATATTCTTAGACCTAGTTAATTTTTTTTTTTTTATTACTGACTTATTACGATGTCTGAAATACTAATTAAAATTAATCTTTCATCGTATCTTGTATTTAATTTAATTAATATTAAAAACAACATATTATGAATTGTGATAAAATGTCTTTAAATTTAAGATTACTACGATATTGTTATTATTAATTATTAACTTTTATAATTATCATAAAAAGAGTTTGTAAAATTAATTGAAATAATTTAATTAATTTTTTTTTTAATAAAAATTTATATTCTTAATTCTTTATTGATGAATTATTTTTGTTTCGAAGTACCAGGAGACGGATCTTTTTTTGAAGCAAACTCTGTTAACTCTTCAGCGAAAGACCTGAAACTTTTAGTCCTTTTTGTGGTCAGAGGGTCTTTGGGAGGTCGCTCCGATTCTTTCAGATGCGGATGGAAAGCAGTCAACCTGTTGATGATATGGTTCGAGTGAAAAGTTTCTCCAGAGGTTCCTTCACCTCCGGACTCGTCATCGTCTCTGGTGAATCTCAATTTTTTACGCAAACTTGGTACTTTACTTTTAGGAGCTTCTGCAGACTCATTGGTCGGCGGTACCACAGCGGAATTCATTTCTTCGTAGCGTCTTCTGCACTCGATGTCCAAGGACGTAGAGATCAAAGAACCGCGAACTCGTTTTATCGCCAGCTTTTCGATTATATACTCATATTCGTTGTTCATGCAGCCGGCAAATGATACTCTACGTGTTCTTCTAGGAAATAGTCTACGGAATAGTCGGAACAGAAAATTATCATCTTCACTGTCGCTCATTTTTCAATCAAATTTTAATTCGATCAGCTAATTTTACTAACTGTCAATTATTGATTATATTTACTTAAAATTGAATTTTATAATTTTATTACTTACTAGTAACTTCATAGTGATTAATTCTTAATAATTTGTTTTTTATTTGATAATTTTTAGAACTTTTGACAGCAAATAAATTATGGCAAAAAAATAAAATTAAGAAATTGACATGTAGAAATTTGAAAAAAATTATAAATGCAATTTTTTAGAATTAATTTAATTGTTAAACAAAATTAAAAATTGGTCAAGTGACATCTAACTTTAATGTCATAATTTTTTGATTGAAAATTTTAAAATATCTTCATGCAGAAATGTAAAAATTTATTCAGCAGATATTTGGAAATTTTTTTAACAAATAAATTATAGCAAAAAAGATACCAAAATTAATTGACGTTCAACAATTTTTTATTTTTTTTTAACAATTAAATAACAAGTAAAAAAATTGTACGTACAATTTTTCAAATTTGTTACACGTGAAATTTTTTCTTTTAATTTTGTCAATAAAAAAAATTTTCAGATACCTAGCTAATTTAATTTTCATAAAAAAAAAAAAATATGAAAAAATATAATTTTTTATAAAAATTAAGTGATACCGATTAAAAACTTGAAAAATTTTTTTTTATTGAAAAAAATATTAACAAAAAAATTTCATTTGTAAAAAACTTGAAAAACTATAAGTGCAATTCTTTAAAAATATTTTTTACTTCTAATTTAATAGATAAAAAATAAAAACGTCGGCTAACTTTAATGGCATTAATTTTTTAAAAATAATTTTAATAATAAATAAAGTTAAAAAATATTCAAATAATTTTAAACTTTAATGTCAAAATTTTTTAATTTTTTTTTCTCATATATATTTAATTCACTTCCTTAAAAATTATCATAACTGTCACTTGTCTGCTATTTACAGTCCTAAAACAGTAGTAACATTTCTGATAAAATTTTGACTATAGTGAGTACAAAAATTTAAACGTATGTAAATTGTGTTTATATATATATATATAAAGAGTTGCTCTTATCTCATATTCTACGTGTTCTACAGTCCATGACGTGTCATGGCAGTGATATTGGACTGTACAATTGAGTAGTGCGGTGTGATATGCAGTCGTCTACGTCCTTTTGTGGGAATAAAATTTTTTAATCTGACAACACACAAATAAATATTTATTATCTGACCAGAAGACTGTTAAATAAACTCTTTTAACTTTTACGCTGTCTTAAAGAGACACTGCGTAAATACCTGCGAGGAATAATATTAACACAATACAGCATTTATATATATTCGTACATACTTACCTGTATTATTATCACTTGATGTAATATACCAAGATTACACGATGTCTTTTCGGCTGTTGTGGATTTTTTCAATAATAAATACTGTATGGACGTTTTATTTGCCGGGTTTAGCACCGGTTAATTACTGTAAAATTGGTGAAGGATCTGAGCTTTGCAAAGTACGTTTTATTTATTATTATTATTGCCTTTTAAAGTTGTCCTATAATTTTATTTGATTTACAGCGATTTTTATTTACCTGTATTGTGAATTAGTCACGCATCATTGAATTATAAAAATATGTCATCGTTATAAAATGATAATAAAATTTTTTAATCTCGTTTCAGTCTGATATTAAATTATATGTCAATCGATTAAATACAGAAGAGTCGGTTATACCTTATGAATATTCGTTGTAAGTAATAGTATTTTATTTATTAAAAATTATTGCTGTAAGATACAGTAAAATAATAATATTAGTAATAAATTATTAATTATCCTTTTTAATTTGTGTGATTCAGCTTCGACTTTTGTGTGAGCGACGATACACAGTCTCCGGTTGAAAACTTGGGTCAGGTTGTGTTTGGCGAAAGAATAAGGCCATCGGATTATGAACTGACGTTTATGAAAAATGTCACCTGTCAAAAAGTTTGTACAAAATCGTACACCGGAGCCGATAAAGACTCTGAAGATAAATTAGACAAATTGCGTGAAGGAATCCGGTTGAATTATCAACATCATTGGATTGTTGGTTTGTATTTTTATTTTTTTATACTGTAAAAAATTGTGGTGATCAAAAAATCATTGTTCTTACAATGATACTTAAATTTAAAAGATTGTTTAGTTATCCGTTTAGCGGACGATTAATTTATTTTATTCATCCGATAATCGGACGGCTAGACACTTCATAAAATTATAGACATCTGATAATTTTTTCAAAGAAAACAAAATACTAAAGTTTTTTTTTATTTATTAAATTAGAGCTAAAAAATATTTTTTAAAAATTTCACTGGTAGTTTTTCAAGATTTTCACAAATAAAAATTTTTTTTTGTAATTTTTTCAATAACAAAAAATTCTAAAAATTTTTCAAAGTCGGCTAACTTAATTTTCTTACAAAAAAAATTTCATCTTTATAAACTCTAAAAAAAATTATAAATGAAAATTTTTTTAATAAATAATTTTCTCGACCTAATTTATTAAAAAATACTATTTCAATAATTAACTAATTAAATATTATTTATTTAGACAATATGCCTGTAACATGGTGCTACCCATTACCAAATGTCCCGAGTGACTCAGAAAAAAAACAATATTGCAGCACCGGGTTCCCAATGGGATGTTTCTTGCATGAAGCTAGATCCTCTCAGGAAGGTTGCAATCCAAACGTAAGTATTTTTTAATGTAATAAATAATTTTTATTTAAAATAATAATAAATAATTATTATTATTATTATTATTATTATATATTTATCAATAAATTTATTTATTACATAATTTCAGTCAATGTACGACAAGGCAAATACTCTCTACTTATACAACCACGTGGACTTGGAAATAACGTACCACAGTGGAGAAAAAGAAGACTGGGGAGCTGGATTCCGGGATAATGGAGGTCGTATTATCGCCGTGAAGGTGACACCTCGTAGTATCAAGCATCCAGCAAATGGACAAGACTGCACTTCAAAGTACCCGCTGGACATTCCGGCGGAAAAATTGGGCAAAGACCAAAAGCTATCAATCACCTACACCTACTCCGTGAACTATGTTAAGAACAACACTATAAAGTGGTCGTCTCGGTGGGACTACATTCTCGAGTCAATGCCGCACACAAATATCCAGTGGTTCAGTATTCTCAACTCCCTGGTTATCGTTTTGTTCTTATCTGGAATGGTCGCGATGATTATGCTAAGAACTTTACACAAAGACATTGCGCGTTACAATCAGGTAATTTTAATTAAATGGATATTAAAGAAATGACAACTTCTTTTATCTTTCCGCTTAGATCTCTCTATCACAATTTTATATGACAAAATTCTTTTACATCTTTTACTAACCAGATGCAATAATAAATTATTTAACGGGTTTGGTACTGGCTGTCAATATTTATATTTATTTATTTATTTATTTATTAAATAAAAAATATGTTAAAAGAATTTTGCTACAGGAATTGTGATTTTTCCATGTCTGTGTTGCGATAACGCAGGCTTATTTTCAGATTGAGTCTGGTGAAGACGCGCAAGAAGAGTTTGGCTGGAAGCTGGTTCACGGTGATGTATTTAGACCACCAAGAAAAGGAATGTTGCTTGCTGTTTTTCTTGGCTCAGGTGTTCAAGTATTTTTCATGACTCTTGTAACTCTAGGTTTGTATTTATTCTTTTATATTTATATTTATTCTATTTTATTTTATTTAACGCCAAGCGGCAACATACATAAGAATATAAAATATAGAATATTAAATTTATTAAATAAATTTAATCAAGTGATATTACATTACATAATGGTAAAGGGAGCAGATAAAAATGAAAAATTCTAAAATTCTAAGATATAATTGCAAGTACTAGGTGGGGAAGTAGCAGAATTAAAAGAAAAAAGATTATTGTGTATATTTATTATTTATATTTATTTATGATTATTGTTTATATTTATTCAAGCCGACAAATTAATTATTTATTTAATTGACAGCATTCGCGTGTCTCGGTTTTCTTTCACCGGCAAACCGTGGAGCGTTGATGACCTGTGCCATGGTGCTGTATGTTTGCCTTGGTACACCGGCTGGTTACGTCTCTGCAAGGATCTACAAGAGTTTCGGTGGTGAGAAATGGAAGACCAATGTTTTGCTGACAGCGATGCTCAGTCCCGGGTATGATTCGTTTTTGATAATAATTAATTTATTAATAGCTTGAATATCGAATTATTTTTATTATTTTTATTACAGAATCATCTTCAGTTTGTTCTTTATAATGAATTTGATCTTCTGGGCAAAAGGAAGCTCGGCAGCAGTGCCGTTCAGTACACTTGTTGCTCTTCTGGCTCTGTGGTTTGGAGTTTCGGTACCTCTGACATTTGTTGGTGCCTATTTTGGATTCAGAAAACGAGTAAGTTATAATCCTAAAGTTATATATAAGAAAAAATGTATTTATTAATTGATTGTATTATTTCAGTCATTAGAACACCCGGTGAGGACAAATCAAATTCCGCGTCAAATTCCCGAGCAAAGTTTCTACACACAGGCGATACCTGGAGTTATTATGGGTGGTGTTCTACCATTTGGCTGCATATTTATCCAATTATTCTTTATTCTCAATTCTATATGGTCAAGTCAAATGTACTATATGTTTGGATTTCTATTTTTGGTTTTCTTGATACTCATTATAACGTGCTCAGAAACTACGATACTTCTCTGTTATTTCCATTTATGTGCAGAGGTAAGTTAATTTTTATTATCATTATTTTTTTTTTGCCGTGGAAATTTATGATTTTTAATATTGATTTTTTCATTGATAATAATTTAATAATAATAATAATAAAAATTATACTACAATATTAATTGCCATTTATTTAATAAAACATAAAATAATTATTTAATATTATAGGATTACCATTGGTGGTGGAGAAGCTTTTTAACATCAGGATTTACAGCAGTCTATTTATTAATTTATTGTATTCACTTCTTTGTAAAAAAATTAAATATCGAAGATGGAACTTCAACATTTTTATACTTTGGATACACTCTAATAATGGTATTTTTGTTCTTCCTTTTGACGGGTAAGTTTGAAACATTATTTTTTAAACTTTATTTAATTTTTTGATATTAGTCAATAATTTTTTAAAAATTTTTTTTAAGGTTCAATCGGATTTCTCGCGTGTTTCTGGTTTGTAAGAAAAATTTACAGTGTAGTTAAGGTCGATTGAAAATATTTAAGTATTTAAAAGCCGTGGTAACTTTAAGTTAAACTTGTGAGAATAAAATAAAGTCGTTTTCGAAGTTGACATCGGCTTCAATTTTGCCAGTAATTATAAAAAAAAAAAAATTTGTAATAAATTATTATTATTAAGTCAGTATTCAAATTATTTTATTATAACATCACTCTTATAATAAATATAAATATATTTTTTACACGATAAATTTTTTACGCGTTTGAAACTGATGTCAACGACGTTAACGCACAAATTTGAGTGTTAGAACGTGTGAACGCGTAAATGGAGTGCGACTTAATGATTAATTAATTAATTAATTTTATTAAGTTTAATCTTAATCACTAAAATTACAATTATAATTTTTTTTTTTTTTATAATCGACCTTTAAGGTCTGAAAAATCACGTGTACAAATTGGTGACTAAAACATTCTGTTATTATATTATTATTATAATAATTTGTCCATGATATTATTAAAAAATTTACTAGAAGTGATTGATATACAATACTGAGCACATAAAGATTTTGTAAAATAATTTAATAAATAATCATTTAAAATAAGAGTGTTAATATAAATAAATGCTGATCAATAAATTTAATTTTTTTTTGTTTATTCATTGATAGATAATTCTACACATTTTTCACTACATCGGACAGCAGTTATGTACAGCAGGTTATTTACCACTTAATTATTAACGAGAATTTTATTATTATTTTTAATATTATTTTCAAATAATATAAGATTTAGTGTAACAAAAATTAATCCAACGATAAAATAGTGAAAAAACTGACATTAATTTACACTTGATACAAACTAACTTATTGATTATATACCACTACGAGCAATAATATTTATAAATTCAGAATTTTATTCGCTGTCCAATGTTAAGAAACAAAAACAATTAAATTAATCCATTGAAGTCGTTAATAAAATAATTGTTGACTTCTTTTATATTTTATTTTACTACTATTTTTTTTTTTTTTTCTTTCAAGTTATTGCCAGTTATAAATTCCTGCTGATTAAAAATTTTTTAAACCTTGAGTTTTACTTAATATTTATCAGCTTAAATAATTATATATTTATATATATATTTATAATGACATCATCAAAGAAAACTTTGATTTGATTTTATAAAACTCAGTATAATTATCTAGCTTAATTGCTATTTGTAATTATTAATTTAATCATTATTTATAGCACAAAACAATGATGCTACGTGCTTAATATATTCATCAACATTGTCATTATTAAAAAGTCCCACGTTGTGTCCTGACTTCATGACGAGAATCGCCAAAATCAATATCTGCAATCCTTATTGCGAATAATCGCAAACATTTGAATGAATGAATGAATGAATCAATCAATCACTTAACTACCGGCCCGTTGTGAGTTCAGTGAACGTTTGTGGACCTGTAAGAATCACGATTTAATGCTAAAGAAACTCAGGACAGGATATTAGTTCAGGGACGTTCAGGATAGTGTGTTAAACCGCATGCAGACATGTACTTCCACTATTTTAACGACCAGTACCCGACTGTTGTAATTATTTAATTTTTTAAGTATCCATAAGGAGGAAATAATTAATTGGAAAAGTAAATTTGATTATTGCACGGGTAATTAATTTTCAATGAAAGCAGTTAATTAAAACGGGTATTTTTAAACAAATAAGGCAAGTAAGGATGCTTTTAGACCGCGTTAATTAAAAAATATTAATTTAAAAAAAAATAAGCTTTTATTTATTAATTTTTTAAGCGCGTACTGATAATTATTTATTACTGATTATATATTAGATATTATAGATAAATTAGCAAGATATCGATGAAAAATAATAATAGTAAAAATAGACAGATTAATTGAGTGAAAGAAAAAATAGGAAAGAGTAAGATAAGGAAGGGTATATTTATTTTCTTGGGCTACGTCGACGTCGACTATCGCGATTTCTCTCAGCGCGTCTCATCTCTTCCAATCTACGCGCGTGCTCAGCCATGTGTTGCCGTCGCATTTCTTCTTTCACAACAATCTGAAAAATTTATTTTTTAATAATTATTATTATACCTATCGGATCCGGTCCAATGCTTTGGTAAGCAAGGGCCGGATCCGATAGGCTACTGCGCGCCCTTATTTTTTTTTTTTATTATTATTTATAAAGCATTTTATTTGAAATGATATTTCGACAAACCTGCTCATTGGTGAGCGGTAGCCAATATATGCACGGCGTAGCCTTGGTCTTCCTAAAAAGATCATCGAGCAGTTTCGCTGGAGGCGGGTCGTCTTCTTTCTTCTTAAACTTCCTCGCTGGGGCGGGTAAGTGTTGATTAGCTGCTGGACTGTGACTCCTCTGTCGCCTTTTCTTCTCTATTTCCTTCTTTTCACGGTCCTTTTCCTTCATCAGATGATGTCCATCCTCCTTACCTAAATCCCATTCTCGCACTACTGTTACCTGTTTTTAAAATATAAATGTAAGTACGTTTTATGTTAAATAAATTTATTTGAGTTCCTACCTTAGCCGCGGAATTGGTTTTTTCCTCGCGACCCCATTCTGGTTGCCAAGCGTCTGCCGCGGTTATCGATTCTGTTTTACGTGGCGGAACTTGATCTTTTGATGATTCTCGCGCTTGTTCCATATCTTCTTTTGTCGCGTACTCTACTTGGAGCTTTTTCGGGTTTGATAAAGGCCAAGAAATTCCGTGAAGTGCTTGTCTGGTCTCAAATGCTTGATCTTCATTTGAATACTGAAATTAAAATAATAAAATAAAATTTAACAAATTAAAAAAATTTTTTTAATTTAACAAATTAAAAAAAATTTTTAATTCAACAAATTAAAAAAATTTAATAAATTTTAAAATATAAATCGATGAAAAAAAAAACGAACCTCTACAAAACATTTAGATTTAATTCTATCCATCCAAAAACCATTTTCAACTATAGTTCCGGTACGTGACAACAATTCTCTTATTTGGTTCAATGTAAATGGTCTTACTAAATTTTTAATCAATAATACATTAGTCGGCTGTGCAGGTAATGGACTAGGTGATTTTGTTGGTAAATCCTTGACAATTGAAATTTTTCGTCTAGCAGCTGAAAATTTATAAAATATTTAATTTAATTTATAATAAAAACAATTTTTTAAAAATTTTTTCCACCAGATATTTATAAAAGCAAAATTACCTATGTGATTATCAGATTTAGCGGGTTCAACTTTTGTTGTCTCTGCATCGTCCTTCTTCTTTTCCACAGGCCCCTCGTTCGCGCTATGACGCTTTTCCTTCTCCTTACGGCGGTCACGTTCCTCATCGTCATCTTTGGATAAACGTACTTCACTCATAGGCAGTGGTTTCGCTCCAGGTACTAAAGCCTTTTCAATTAAAATTTAAAAATTACATTATGCAGCGATTATAAATAACAAACAATTAAAAATTAAACCACTATATAAATACCTTAAGAGAATCTGTGGATATTGAAAGAGTAGGTGGTGTATCAGTACTTAGTGTACCCCAGCGACGTCTTTTTGGAATGATAGATCCCTCCACTTGATCACCGCTAACGTGATTTTCCTGGAAAAATAAATAAATTACTAATAAATTCCCCTACAATTATAATTATCAAATAAAAAAAAAAAAACTACCTTATTATGACTGGCATCATTTTTATCAACTTCTTTTTTCTCTGCTTTCTCTCCTACAACGCGGGTACTAAAAAATAATCATTATAAATAAATATCAAATAAAAAAAAAGATCTAATACATGAAGAAAAAAAAAAAAAAAAAAACTTACAAAGATCGTTTTAAATTAACTTTGTTCGGTTTTACAGAAGCCGGCGCTGCGCTGACTTGAGACTTCTCTGGTGGAGGAGTGTTAGGCTCATTAGCATCATTCTGTACCTCATCAACATCCATTTCAGCAATGCTGTCATTTTGATGAGTCAAAACGATCTCTGTCTCGGAAGAACGATCCGTAGCTTCAGTTGCTTCTTGTGCAAACGGCGACTTCTCCGGAGTAGCTTCTAATTTAAGTCCCTCCTCTTCCTTATCACTCTTCCTCACCCCTTCATCGTCAGATTCCGCTGTGTCAGAATTCGAAGAGTCCCGGTACTTGTCGCGATGCTTCCTACGAGTAGTTCTTCGCGTCCTCTTGACATTTTCTTTCGACTCTTCGTCATTTGACGTCGACCTGGATCTATCTTTTTTCTTTTCTCGCTCATCTTCACTGCTGGTATCTTTCCGAGCTTCTTCCTTTACCAACTCATTTTTTTCCTTATCCTCCTCCTCCTCCTCTCCAGATTCTTTTTTATCATTATCAACTTCTTTATTTTCTACCTCTTCTTCAGTAACAATTTTTTCATTTTCTTTTTTAACATCAATTTTTTCAACTGGTTTAATTTCTTCAGCAGGTTTTTCAATCTCTGTAATAGTTTCTTCAACCTTTGTAATAGTTTCTTCACTCTCTGTTACTTTTTCCTCATCTACTTCTTTGTCTGTAGACAACTTTTCAACTTCTGTACAAGCTTCTACTTTAATCTCGGCTTCTTCAACTTTAATTTCAACTTCTGGATTTTCTGAATTTGGAGCTACATCTTGATTCTCCTCAGGAACTTTTTCTCCTTGAGATTGAATAACTTCCTCAGTAGTTGTTGTCTCGACGCAACAATCAGTCTTGGAATGATCCGGCGTAGTGTCATCAGCAGGAATACTGGCCTCACTGACAATGGTATCGTTATTGATACAACTGGTATTCGTAGACTCATCATTGGTCTGATCGTGAACCGTGTCAACAAGCGGTGGTCTATCTATGTTTTGTTTATCGTGAGACAATTCGGTCGAAGCATTTTCGGACAGGAACTCCTTGCAATCACTTACCTCTTCGCCGGAGTCCCGAGCAGGAATCGTTGACGAGGGATCATCAGCCGGTTCATCGCCACCAAGCGTTGTCGTTGTCATCGTCTTGTGAGAAGAGGACGACGACGACGTTGCTGGCTTTTCGTCAGCTGAATCAACCTCCTCAGCAATACCCTCACTGCCGCTTTCCTGCCATTTGCTCGATCTTTTCCTGCTCAACGACACGTCCGAAGTCTCGGACAAGTTTCTCTGTCTGCATAATTTAAGCTTTGGTATCTCACCGGGCGACGCGTCAGCACGAGCTGCTTTCCAAACAGACCCGCCGTCTTCAATCTCTTCATCGACCTGCTGCTGCTGCTGCTGCTGCTGCTGCTGCTTGGCTACCACCGATGTATCCGTTGAGGATACTTTCTCTGGTTCTTCGACAACGTTCTCTACGTTGTCGCGGTCTTTTGCGCTGGCATGTAGTCGCGTTTTGTAAGCCACTGTTGGTTCCTTGTCACTGCTCGTCAATGTATCTACGTCGTTGCTGTTTTCGCGCTCCGGCGATGACGATGGTGATCTTTTGGCACGTCTCCGTGTAGATTTTCGTGTTGGTTTCTCCACTTTTTTTTCTGGCGACGATTTTGATTTATTTCTTTCACTTTTACGCCTCATTTTTATAATCTATAAATAAATAATTATTATTAATTTATTGTGATATAACTGCTAGCTTATTATTACAGGCTTCATTTTTTTTTATTTTTTATACAATAATAATTTTCAACTTAAAAATTCAATGATCATATAGCACAAAATCATTATATTCTAACAATTAAATTAAAGATGTAAAAGTGTGAATTTTAAATACAATTATATTGAACGTTAAAAATAATAATTAGTGATTAGGTTAGCTTTATTATAAACGAGCGGCGTATTTATGATGATTCGTGTATGTACATAGTGAGGAAAAAAGTTTGTGGTTATCCAGAGTGATGATGTTGTGTTAATATTTATGAAAAATTACTTACTTGTGAAGAATAATTAACTGTAGGTTATTAATATATTTATTGCTTCGCACCTTTAGTGATTATTTATTATTTTTAATTATTAAATATTAAATAGAAAGACGCTTCACGTACAATTGTGTAAAAAATTTCACTTGTCTTGTGAAAATTAAACCAAAACTATGGCGACTGTGAAGGTAATCAGATATCAGACATTTTAGATTTTTCGAAAGTGTCAGTGGCGCCTCTGACGTTGATTTTTTCATTTTTTGCGGGAAAAATTGAATAACTTTGTTTTATAAAAATTCAAGTTATAAAATAATTTAAATAACAACAAAAAATATTTATTAGCTTTTATAAATAGTATAAAATATTCATCTTAATTTTGTTGTAATTTACATGAAAATAGTAGTACAAAATAATATCATTGTTGAATAAGTATCTTAATAAATTTTTTTTATATAAATGTAAATACTTATGACTTTGATTATCTTACTTATATCTTCCTACGGAACTATATATAATTCTATTCCTAATATATAAGAATTTTAATTCATTAATAGTATAAATAAAATTAATTAGACGTTTTGGAGTAACAAAAAGCCAAAAAATAATACAAGGTAATTGTATATACAGAAAAATGACTGTGAAGCTGAGCCAGGCGTATTGTATTTCTCATTTCCTGGCTGTCCAACGCACAAGTTCTCGCAATCTTCGTCTTTGCAGATGTCACAGAGAGTAGAAACGTGAGGTTCGTAAAACACACGAGCTCTCCTCGCTAAAATAACAATAAAATAAATATTTAAACAATAAATAAAATGTTAATATTAATGACACTGAATTTAACAGACATCTAAAAATTTTTTATGAAAATGAATTTATAATAATAAAGTTAGCCGACGTTTGTAATATTTTGATTTTTTTTTCTCTGATTAAATTAGAACTAAAAATATTTATAAAAAATTGCACTTATAGTTTTTTAATTTTTTTAAAAATGAAAATTTTTTTTGTTTTTTTATGATAATTATTTCAATAAAAAAAATTATAAAAAATTTCTAAATGTCAGCTAACTTAATTTTCAAAATGAATTTAGTATATATTTGATAATTTTAATAATTTTGTAACAAGTAAATTATGGAAAAAAAAAATTAGAAAAAAAAGACGTAGAAATTAAAAAAAATTAAAAATTCAATGTTTTAAAAATAATTTTTTTTTAACAATTTTACTTGTTGAAAAAAATTAAAAAATAGTCAAGTGGCTGCTAATTTTAATGTCATAAATTTTTTAGATTTTTATAACAATTAAATTGTAATGAAAAAAATTTAACTAAAAAATTCCATATGTAAAAATTTTATAAAATTATAAGTCCGAATTTTTTAAATTGTTTTTTTTTTTTTTTTATAAGAATTGATTGGTTGTAAAAATTCTAAAATTTATCAGATGTCTGCTAATTTCAGTATCATTAATATTAATAAAATAAATAATAATAAAAATAATTACATGAATCATAATAATCGTAAATAGATACAGGTACTGGCTTCTGTTTAGCAACCTTGTGAGTTCTGTATGCAGATATGGTAGGACAGTATTCTTTTTGGACCATCTGGAGAATAAATAAAATACAAACAATTTTTAAAATTTTTTAATAAATTTTTGAATAAAAAATAATTTAATAGAAATTAAATGAAATTTACCTTATCAAAGTATAGCACAACCATGGTATTACCATTTTTAGTCTCGACGCGCTTAACATGTTGAGATACCTGCAGGCTGGGAAGCGAGTCCATATCAATGGTGAAACCAGAAGGAAGACTAACTTCCATGACAGCCATGTTACTTTCATTGGATTCTTTAGTAGGCACAAAGCCAGAGCAGATAGATAACTGCAGATGGTTTTCGTTGGAAATCCTATCGACCTGAGGATCTAGAGTAAACAGCGGCCAAGCACCGGTGACATTCAAGTTGTAGTGAGTGGAAACCTGGATAATAGCAAAGCCTTGTCCGGTAGCGGTGATATTTACAACACGAGTTTTACGCGGTAGAATGTGCTTCTGGAGAATCATAGCATTGTCGGCGTTGATATTCATCTGACTTTGCCCACCTCCTTCGTAGTGGATCGTTATCGCGATGTTATTGCTTCGCGTTGATAATTTCTCGGCGAGTTTTGAAAGCGCCAGTAAACCTACCACCGTGTCCTAGAAAAATTTACCATTGAATTATTTTTATTGTTAATAAAAAATGACACTGAAATTAGCAGGCACTTGACCATTTTTTTATTTTTCTTTAAAAATAAATTAGGCCTAGAAAATTATTTTTTAAAAATTGCATTTATAATTTTTTACAAGTTTTAAATGTGAAATTTTTTTTTTTCTATAATTTATTTGTTGCAAAAAATTTTTTAAATTTATGTTTTATTTGGATTTATTTAAAAAATAGATTAATTCTAAAAATTTATTTTTAAAAAATAGCACTAATTTTTTTTTTTACAATTTCTACATTTAAAATTTTATTATTGCTACAATTCATCTATCACAAGTGTCAAAATAAAAATTATTTTTTTTTTAAATTAAAGTACCTGGGTTGAAGAGAAACCTCCTTCGGGATTCCTCTGTTTCACCAGCCATTTCATAACAGCGATTGAATCAGTGACTAGATTCTTCCTAAGATAAGTCATCAGAGTATAAGAAGTCATTTCAACATCCACCGAACGTGGTAGAGCATCAAACCATGGATTTTTATCACCCACGGGAATAGGCTTGCTCCACCATTTTAAATCATCTTTCGTAGAAGCTCGAGACTCCAAAGCGTTGAATGCTGCGTCTTCATAAGGATGTCGCGCTAAATTTAGTACATACGTACACAAACTCAGCGCGTATGTATCATCAAGACCTTCCATATTTGTAACTATATAATCAACACCTTTATTTATAGTGTTCCTGTATTTTCCGCCTTCATCCTGAAACGAAAAAAATCATCAACAAAACCGATTCAGTTTTGACAAAATTATATTTTAACTTTCTTACAGGATTTTCCAGGAAAGCAATGAGAGTAAAAGCAGTCAAGGCCAATCCTTTGGAAGCTCCACCTTGCATATCTCGATGACTGACATGACCAACTTCCGGGAAGCTTCCACTGGGCGCCTGGACCTCAGCCAGCCACGACAATGCTTCATTAATAATTCTATTTTCAACAGGAATGTATTCAGCCGCTTGCTTGAATGATCTTGCTACGAATGCCGTAAGCCAGGTACTTCCACTAGCATCAGACTCTCCAAAGGCGCTAAATGATCCGTCTTTATGACGGTAAGTTAATTCCTGCTGGTATCCAACTTCAAGGTACCTCAAAGCTTTACCCTGGATTGCTTGAGTCAACTGGTTTGTATTCTAAAAATTTAATAAAATAATTTAGAGTTTCTAAAAATAAATATTTATATTAATACACAGAAAAAAAAATTTAACTTGAATCAAGTAAATAATTTTGAAGAACTTCATCTTTTTGATTTGAGTAGAAAAATTCTTAAAATAAGAAATTTTTCTTGGTTAAGGAAAATTTTACTTGATTCAAGATAATAAAATTGTTCAAAATCATTTTCTTAACTAGAACTTCATCTTTTTGATTTGAGTAGAAAAATTCTTAAAATAAGAAATTTTTCTTGGTTAAGGAAAATTTTACTTGATTCAAGATAATAAAATTGTTCAAAATCATTTTCTTAACTCAAAAATTTTCATCTTAATTCAAGTTAAATTTTTTTTTTTGGTGTACTTTTTTTAAAATAAATAAAACTTATTTTGTTGAAATAAATTTTAAGTACCTTTAAATAATTCAAGATAACAATATTGGGGACCAAGTTCAACATATTTTGTTCTCCACATCCAAAAGGCATTTTTATTAAGTTAGCTAGGTTGGGAATACTAGGGCCCAGAATATCTCCTACAGCTGAAATTTCAACAAACTCTGACCCGGGAACAAAATTCTTGGGTATGTCAACAGTTAAGTTCATCTGGATATTTCTCGTATCACGGAGATCCAAAAATACAGCTTTGTTTCTGTACTGTGTCTCTCCCTCAGCTTTCACGAGTAATTTGTGCTCGACGCTGTCTCCGGCGATTTTGCTGGTAGCAGTCGCCTTGATGGTGATGTAGCCCAAGTCTCTGGGAATAATCATGAATGAAACACTGGAGCCAGAGTTAGCTTTTATCTCGATGCGCTTCTTGCGGAAAAGTTCAAGTTCTGTGAAATGAAATAATAAAAATAATTTTAAGAATAAGCAATAAAAATAAAAATACTTACTAGGAGTGTCGTGAACTTCATTAGATACTTCCGCAAATTCAAACTGTCCAGCGTGCTCGAGCACAACATCAGCCGTTATATCTTTATCCATGTAATTAAAGACAACAATAGGTATTGCAACTATTTCGCCTCTCATTACCGAGTACGGTAAATCGAGAGAAATAAAGAACGGCTTGAAGACTTTGAGCTTCCGAGGCGCATCGATGAGACCCAATCCGTAGGTTGAATCCACTGAGAACGCAGTCAGAACCCAGGAAGTTATTGAGTCGGGAACCGTCCGTCTTATTACAGCTTCTCCTTTGTACCTAGATAATTAATCACCTTTAATTATTATTTTCTATTGAATCAACAAACGCCGCAGAGAAAGTTACAGGGTGATTCGTGCATGCA